GTGGAATTGGTTGTTGAGTATCTTTGCCTTGGATTCCTTATCGCAATATAACAGACCATCAGCCTTTCTAAGAGGTGCAATACCTTGCGAGTCTTGTCTTTTTCCCTTGAGATAAGACCAGAACTTTTTGGGATTGCTATTGAGGTCGCTGCAGAAGATCTCATCAATATAGCTGTCATGAGCTCTTCTAAATTCCCTCTGGGCTATTGCCTTCAAGTGGCGATACCGAGTCCAGTCTTCTGGGTTTTGGGTGGATCCGGCCTTACGGTAAGCCTTATGTTTACCTCGGATCAAACGCTTGACAGATGAGTTGATCCATGGCTGAGAATGCCTGCTCCTACTCAGCTTGGTCGGGACATGCCTCTGTATCATATCTGTGACGTGGTTCTTAAACTGGGTCCATGAAACATTGATGTCATTTTGTATCACTAATTCGATTGCCAGGTTCTTCAAGCTTTCCTGGATTGCTTGTGTGTCTGCCCTCTTCCATAGGAAAATTTTTCTCTGACCAGGTTTGGCTATAGTAGGTGTGATAAGTGTGTCCATCATAACCACATCATGGTCACTTTTGCCTAATGCTGGCAGGGGTTTGCACTTCTCTACGAGGGAAGAGTGGGAGACAAGAAAGAGGTCAAGTGTTTTGTCATCTCTTTTTGGAAAATCCACAATCTGATCCAGAGCTAGGTCATCTTGCATGCTGCAGTACTGGTCAGTTACTCTTATTAGGACCGATCTACCAATAAATTGTCGCGATGGCCACTTTATATCTGGAAGATTGAAGTCTCCTCCAAGTATGAAGTAAGAACTCTTATGTTTGTTCCGAATTTCGGTGATATCATTAATTAGAGAGAAAGTATAGTCATCATCAACCCTGTTTGGGGGCCTGTATGCAGCAGTGATGATCGCTGATTTGCTGTTGAGGAGATCAACCTTGATACTGATCACTTCAGTTTCTTCCCCAGTTCTGTTTCCTTTAGTTCCTGTATGAAAAATTTCTTTTCCTGTCCATTGGTGATATTATCTTAAAGTTCCAACACACGTTTTTTTCTTCATGCGACTTACGACACTTTTGTGTCTTTGTTTTGTAATGTTCCCATCTGTAGGGAGTTCCGGGTGGTCTTCTTTCGTATGGTAGGCGTGCAGTATATCTTCCATCTTTGTATGTAATACATTCATTTCATTATTTAAAGATTTTGCTTTCTCTTCATTGACTTTGTTTAGAAAATCTTTTACTTCCAAGAATTGAGCCAAGTTGACATTTCTTCATCATGTTGGCATAGTATTTTGTATATCCCTGTGGTATTTTCTTGTGTTGGTCCAGATAACAGGTATCCTATCTTGGATTTAACAACAGTTCGTCCGTTGCAAGGTTCATGATGAAGTTCCTGTAATAATCTGCTCCAGTGAGGATTTCTATTTCAAAGGAATGATTACTTTGATTGGTATGTGCAAACATGTTTGCTTGATATTCTGTTCCACTCGCGGACTGTACCTCTGCCACTGCTGTCTTGAGAAGATCTGGGTGAGGAAGAATGGAGACTAACAATGCTCGATGAGGTTGTTGATACCTTGGTCTTCTGTTGTTGCCCATGCAAGTACTTCCACTCCATCTTCCTGTCGTGTACATATACTAATGTGGTGATGTAGATTACACTTTTTTGCATGTTTTCTTGGATTTGCAATCTGCCACTTTGTGTCTGCCAAGACAAAATAGAACTTGTCCTTCTTGATTTTCTCCAGTTTCCTGTTGTGGTGTAAGATACAGTTTACTAGACCGTTGTTTTCATTGCTAAAAATATACGGTTTTTATCTATTTTGGGCTCCTTTTCTCTGTGCGCATATTCCTGACCTCCTCCGTGCATTGGTTTGGTGATATTTGGTTCACTGTGTCCAATGTTGTTGAAGCCAGTCATCTCATACATGTACACAGATAGTCCCGGCCTTTTGATTGATTTGCAGAGTGTAAGTTTATCCCAGAGGTCATCTGCATTCTGACGAGGGGTCTCTCTGAGGAATTCTTGTGGGAGTTTCTTTCAGGATCACAGGTATGAGCAAGGATGTATAATTATGTTTCCATTGGGGTATGAACCAAGCGACTCCACACTGCGCACATATGTCTCAATTTTTTCATGCATAGTCTCATAATCGGGATAATATTTAGAGCTTCTTCATGTATTTATTTGTCATTTGTGGGTTCGTCCCTATCTTACTGGTTCCTCTCCTTATATATTACAATATGTCATGCAAATTAAAGAAAAATAATACAGAAGATGCAAGCTTAAGTGAAAACCGGTAATATGGCATATCAACTAAGAGAATTTACAGGTACGAACGCAGTAAAAATATTGTTATCTGTAAAGGAAAATTTACATTAATAAAAAAAAAAGGATAACGATTATTTTCACATAATTTTCAGTCATATAGTTAGAAAATGTCCTGAAAAAAATATCAACTATGAAATAAAAATCGGTCATAAAATTCATTGGTGATAAAAGTATAGTTCAAAATGACGACCTAAAAGCTGTCATCTATACTTATAAATCTATAAATTTTGCAAATAAACTCCGAAACCGATGTACCAGAGTTTTTACTTACTCCTCTAAGAATACACTAGATACAATATGATGTCCGTAAACTATATTTAGATTTCACTGGCATTGTAAGTATCGTGCATTAAATTAAAAGTCTACTTTTATTTTCTATAAAAAGCCATGAAATAGCAAAAACATGAGTACGGTGGCGTTTCCGGTTGGCGGATCTAAGTTTCTGGCAATTTTCAATGAAACTGACAACAATCAATCGTTTACTTATTTCATAAAACGTCATCACTGAATTATTCAATCAAAACTTGATTTAAATGACATAAAAGAAATAAGTTGTGATAACCGATTAAAAAGGGAAATGTGCAAATTATTTTTGTCATTCACCGATCTTAATATTGACGGAAGCTTCTAGAACATCATATAGCATCGAGCCCGATGTTAAAAAGAAAAACGAGACGATCATAGCTGCAGGAACACAAAAAAGGTTATGTGTGAATGGTCATTGAAATAATGGTAAATCATTGATAACACTATAAGTTGTGAATATATTTATATATCGAAAGACTATTAGATATATGTACATGTAGTAGGTTTTCCTAATAAATTTATTGGTAAAATGTGTAGTATATTCATCACTGTGAGAGCATCGTGGCAACGAACCCGAAGTACAATTTCTACTTCGTAATAAAATTGCTTACATGAAAAGAGAAATTTATGAATAAGATATTGCTCAAATACAATTAAAGCTGTAAAATTTTGTGCTTTAATCGATACATTTCAGTTTTTTTTCTGTATACAGTCTTTTGTGTCAAATACTCGGCCTATTCATAGGGCGTTAAAAGCTAATTTTTACAAAGGTACTTGCGTCTTGGTTTATATATATGTATGTACCTTATTGATATGTAAAAAAGGTAAAGTACATTTTTTACATATCAAAAAGGTACGTACATATTCATAAACCAAGACCCGAGTACCTGTGAATTTTTACACCCCCCCCCCCCTTCAAAAAAAAAAAACTATCAGTAAAATGTGCATATTCGCTGCTTTTATCCTTGGCGGAAATGAAATAAGATAGTATAACAGGTTTCACAATAAACATTAATTAATGAAATTGTTATTTTTTCAGGCTTTTACAAAAGGGGGGAGGGGGGGACGCACATGCGGGATTTTGAACAGCGTATTTCTTCCTGCTATAAGCCTGTAGGCTGTCAGTAGAAACTACAATGTATTTTCTGTCGGTAGTGGTATAAATTCAATTACCCGCGCTTGCGCGGGATTTCAACTAGTTTTTTTTAAAAAGAGGCTAAATTCAGGGAGCCCAGATCTCTCAAATGGCTACAGAACTTCATTTCTATTATGAATTCCGTCGAATATGCTAGACGATGGGTTAAATATGAGGAGAGAGACTTTGACACTCTATCAGAATGGTTAAATTCATTGATTGTATGTTGTTTTACGTCCCATTCGAGAATTCTACATTCATCTACAATATAGAGACTTCACAACATACCGGTGAAGAGCTTCAAATTTAGACCTATACTCGGCACCAAGGGCAATTAAGCAGTGAGGGTGCTTTATCGTGCCAATTCCTACCGTGACAAGGGACCTCGATTTTTAATAAGATTTCATCAGAAAGAACGGGCGTTGGACGAAGGAACAGTAACTACCTATGTTTAGGTTTGATGCGGCGAACGAGCACCGGTCCTTTCAAAATGGATCAAGTGTTTTAGATATATATTTAAAAATCGCATTAGAAAATTGAAGGGCAAAATGCAAATTATCTATCCTTCCGTTTTCAGTAAACCCGAAGTGATACAAACAAAGATGTATCGCAGGGTCCAGTAAATGTTTAAACAAGACCCTATCCTTATATACTCGATCCTCAGCAAAATATTAACTGCTGTGAAGGATCGAGAAACTCCAGAAATATTGTGCTACAACCTACTCAAGAAGTTGTGTAAATCAAATGTGGATTCTAAAAAAAAAAAAACCGGTTGAGAGAGGATGCTTACTCCTACTACAGGCACCTGATCCCACCTCTGTGGTGTTTCTAGGGGTCCGTGTTTTTGCTTTGTTCACGATTCGTTTTGTCTACTGTATTTAAGAGATTGGTCACTGTTTTCTTTATCTTCACCTTGTACAATTAAGTAATATTCATCAGGATACTTCTAACACCAGGATATTATATATGCCCCATAGATTTTAAGTATGCCCCATCCACAACCTGAATAAAAATCGTTTTCAAAAAATCTTTCTGTCTTATCCCACAGGCACTTTTTCCATAGTATAACAATAAAAAAAAATACGTGTAGCTAGTTTAAACGTAAAAATATATCAGTGTTCATCTATAAAGGGAAGCGTTTTCTTTATTATAATATTCTGGCGAGACAAATCCGGAAAAATGTCGATCGTATTCAATTTTAACTTTTATTTTCACATTGTTTACAAATGGCTGACGGTATTCGGTATTGAGGTTTTACATGTGAAAATTAGCCAACATAAGCTGTTATTGAAATGGGAAAAGAACTTGGACCTTTGGCTAAGCACCAAAAAGAAGTTGATGGTCAAAAGAAATTGGTAAATAAAAGCATGAATTGCTTGGAGAAAAAAAACCCACGCAAATATTTTTTTTCTTATTCTTAAGGTTCATGTTGAAGTGTTTTTCTTCTATAACACCGATTACAAAGTGTTAGGATAATCCAGGTAAATGCTCCTAAAATACCTTTACAGTGAATTGGCTTTTGTCTTTTGCATATGACGTTTGATGACAGAGTGCAATTATTGATGAATGAGTTACTGAAAGACTGAAACATAAATGAAGCATGTTCAAACATGTTGATTAAGTTTTGTTGTTTTTTTTTTAAATCTCTTCAAACTAAGGAATGTTATAAATGATAATATAATTTGCATGTACATCAATGATTTATGAATCAGAAAATAGTTCTCTTAATTTTCCTGACTTTTTAGTTCAACTTTTAGATTTTTTTCTCTTTTATGTAAAACTATTAGTGCTTCAGGGAACAAATATAACACATAAATTTTCTATTTTTGTATGCAATAAATTTTGAAGATATAAGAATTGCATATTAAATGTATTAAATGTGCTGATTGACATGGTCCTGATCAATTTTTCTAGTCATATGTCTTTAACAACTTACGCAGATTAGAAACAAATTGAGTTAAATTAATATTAAACTGTTTTATCAGAAAGTAAGCTTAGAAGTACGATAAATACATCATAACATTCCTAGCAAAATTTCTTTTATGTACATGGAATAATACCTGCAATAAATTTGATTTATTGTCTTTTTTCAGATTGAAAAGCAAATCAAAGACAGCACAAAATTGTTAGGCAATTCTAAGTTGAAAAATGATGAAGAAAAGCTCAAAGAACAATTTAAAGGGTAAAATATTATATTTACTTATTCACTTTTGACTAATATGAACATATATTGATTAGCAAGGGAAGAAAACAAAAGAATTAGTTCTGAACCAAATATAAGTTGTATGATTTGGATATTTTGTTTTTAAAAACTGGGTCTTGCAATAATTCTGTATATCAACTCTAAATGTTTAAGTTTGGCAGGATGCTAATAAATCTAGATTTTCTGTGATATTCATATTAATCAATAATCAATTCCTAAACATTTTAATTTTCTTTCAGATGTTATGAAATAAAATTGAAGGTTGAAGAGTTCATTGTAGCAGCTAATGAACTAGATGAAGTAAGATTCCATTTCTGTAAACATTAATTAAAGCCCAAAGATAAATTCTTTCTCAAGCAAAAACAAAAAATCTGAAAGAGTTAAATATAATTTTTAAAAAAAAAAAACTTTTCAGGGAAATGAACCATCTAAAGTCAAGGGATTTGATAACAAGAAGAAGGCGGAGTTAACAAGACTCGAGAAATGGCAGGTATGTACGATCTGAAAGTGGTATTTAGTTAGTGCCACAAAACTGACTTAGTGTCTAGGTAAAAATTATTTATCTTCAATTACAGATAAAACTTTTTGTTGTGTTGTTAGTTTGTTTCTTGCAATCCTCTTATAAGCTGAACTGACACAACAGATTCAGTTTATTACATTAACAAGTTGTCAATGGTTCCCTGCAAACCACTGGAGACTTTTTTTTTGTCCAGTGCTTGTAAATTGAACCAACGAGTCAAAGAAAATGAACATTGTAACATATTTCAAAAGGAAAACATCTCTGAAACTTAACCAAATATGTTTGTATTGGATAGTTATGTTTATCCTTAATAATTTTTTTGTAGACACAGCTAGACACCCAGATGAAGAAACTTTTGCCCGATGAGAAAGGGGAGGAATACCTCAAGTTGGTTTTTGCTAGAGATTCTTTATCTTTGTGTCAATATTTTGTTAGGAAAGATAGGATTTTTTTTTTCAAAATGTGTATTTAATTGTTCATCAATTTGTATCTGTAAATCTATTGGAATGGTTAGAATTTATAATTATTCTCATGTCCAACACAAGGGACTTCTTGCATCCCTTGTGCAGATTGATTGAAATAAGTTTTTAATATTAGGACTGCTAATCAAAATATTTGTATAATTTGAAATAATATGTATTTACAGTTTAGTGTGAAGAAATACCAGGTAGAATGGTCCTGAAATTCTGTTACTTAAGTCTGTGCACATTATTAGAATACATGTATTTTTTACAATGAATTTGTGTACTTGATTTTTTGTGTGATATTATTTGTTCTGCATAGACAGTAGCATGAGTTGAAACCAGATATTTTCCATTTTAGGGAATTGAAGGGTGAAAGCGAAGAGGTTGAGGAAGAGGAGGAAGAAGAAGGTGAAGAGGAAGAAGTAGAAGAAGAGGAGGAAGAGGGAGAAGAGGAAGAAGAAGAGGAGGAGGAAGAAGAAGAAAGTGAAAAACAAGGTCAGTCATGTGTTCCTCATCATTCCGCAAACCTCGGCTGATTCCGTCACCTTCATCAAACCTCGGCTGTACGAGGAATCTTGATATGCGTTTCCGCTTAACATTTATGATAAGACTGCCTGTTTACGGCTTAGGGAAAACGTAACGCTTTGAAAACGATAATAAACATGCATCTGATATACGATAAAATTTTTCAAAAGCATTTAGGTAACACTAAGAATAACACTTACCAAGAAAAATGCACTTAGTATCTTTACATAATCACATGTTTGTTAACGGATCGAATTCAGCACACTGTGCACGTGTATATGTAGGGCCCAGCCATATTGGGTATAAAGTAGCTCCGGTTCAGTGGAGGTTTACATGATACAGCCGAGGTTAGATGAGGTACAAATCAGCCGAGGTGTCTCATGTCAAGTTAGGAACTCTTCAATATTAGAGGTGTGTTTTGGAATGGGAGCAAATGACATCACAGTGTATCTACTTATTTGGCTTTATTTTTGCCCTTTTCACCAAGTGAGTTCAAAATGGGGTTAATTTTACAGGGATAGAGTTATATCTCTTTTAATAGAGCTCTAAATTGGGCATAATCATTTGCAAGTGTGATGGTGGGAAAATAACACAGGGCATCAATAACCCTGTTTATTACATTTTCAACAGTGAAATACTGTGATTTATTTATTGAATAAAAGTGATATTCTCTCACAGTGTGAAAGAATACCAAAATGATATTCTCTCACAGTGTGAAAGGATATCAAAGTAAGTAGAAAATAATTTCTGGCCTGTCATAAGATAAAGATAGTAACTAAACATCTTGATAGAGCTAACACTGCAATTTTCTTCCCAAATATGTTGCTAAAATCCATGCTATGTAATGTTTTCAATCTCACAACTGCTAAGCTATGACGTCTCAACCGCTCAACTATGACGTCAAGCCTAGCTATGACACTGTGTTAAGAAAAGACAGAGGCAAAGGGAAAATCAAAGGAAATGTAATAAACAGAAAATTCAATGTTTTGTAGATGAATATGGAATTTATTTCACTCGTGAGACAGGATTTTTGATATTTTCACTCGTGCTTCGCACTCGTGAAAATATCAAAAAATCCTGTCCCACTCGTGAAATAAATTCCATATTCATCTACAAAACATTGAATATCCTCTATATACAGCATATGCCTAAAACTTTATTGCAGATTCCAAGAAAAAGGAAAAAGAGGCAACAGAAAAAGTGGGTAAGAAAGAAAAAAAAGAGAAAGAAAAAACTGAAGAAGCAGAGGAAGAGGAGGAAGAAGACGATGAAGATGAAGAAGAGGAGGAAGAAGAAGACACAATGAAAACAGAGAGGTAGAATGATTATCAGGGTAACAAAAAGCTACCATAGTCGACTTTCACATTTACAAATGTTATTTCCCTTTGCGGGGTCAATTTGGGGTCAACTGGTGTAAGACACTGTTTTCCCTCTATACCATTACCAAATTCATGGGGCAATGTCTTACAAATGAAATATGTATGAATATGTTTGTTATGTTTTTTATGTTGCCCATACTATGGCAATACAGGAACTGATCAAAATTGTCCGATAGCATTTAAAGGTTGAAAATATTTACAGGTAAGTTACAAAGGTTATAGTGAGTAAAATGAGTGTTACTCCAACAACGGGAGATAACTCTTACAAATGTGAAATTTGTCTATTGAGAAGTTTGGTCATGCAGGTGGATTCTCTCTTTATGCAGCAAGTTTTAGACTGTATTTTCCTCTTAAACTAAGAGTGAGAAAGATTTACTTGTATATGTGTCAAAAAACACAGATACTGTGAAATCACTTATTTTTTCATGGATTGGGTGAAATAATATTGGTTCATGGGGATTTAATTTCATGGTTAGTATATAAACATTATACTTTAGGTAGATCATTTATATAGATGGGTCTCATCATACCATAAAATCAAAGAAAATTAACCCCCTCCCCCCCCCCCCCCCCCAAAAAAAAAAAATTACAAATTTTACAGTAAATGTTTTGTAAGTAGGAGAGAGCCCTCCCCCCCCCCCCCCCCCATTAAAAATTTCGCAATAAATGTTTTGGAAGTAAGAGAGAGAAGGAGGAGATTGAAATTGGCTTCATTGAATTGTTTTGCAGTAAACCAAAAGCCAAAGTAGTTAAAGAAGAAGATGAAGAGGAGGAAGAAGATGATGATGAAGAGGAGGGAAGTGAAGAGGAGGATGATGAGGAAGAAGAAGATGATGAGGAAGAAGAGACAGAGAAAAAGGAAGACAATGATATGGAGCAAACAACTATTGAGGTTAGTACTAAATACTGTACGTGTACATAAAATGGCGTATTCAAAATTTAGTGCAATCACTGGGTATGGAGTTGTTGGCAAAATCATGAATTAGCACTAAATATGTCCATGCCGTATGTTGTATTAATAAATGAATTTTAGTGGTATTCATGAATTAGCGCATCGGTGTCCGTGCCAAAGCCGCTAAAATATGATGCTCGCATTTTTATAGTACATTCTCTCAAGTTTCTTGTTCTTGTATTTGTCAGTGTTTTCTTGTATTTGTCAGTGTTTATATGAATTTATGAAATTTAAAGAAAATTTCAGAAATTGTCTAAATATTTGAAACATCAAGATAAATTTAAACTGTGTGTTGTAGGGCCTTCAGTTTGAGGGACTTTATGATTACGAGGGGAAGGAAGAGGGAGATTTGTCCTTCAAACAAGGAGAAATTTTGACCATCATTAACACAAGGTTAGTGTTTTCACTCGAAATGTCTATAACTTTTTAAAAAATATATATGACAAGTAAGCCATTTAAAGATCTAAGGTATGACTGTATTAAGTTGAAACATTAAGTCCTTTCCTTGCACAATGATTTTAAGGTACCTTGATTTTTGCAGAGAGGATGGTTGGTGGGAGGCAGAAAATAAAGATGGAAAAAGAGGAACTGTACCTAAAACTTTCCTTAAGGTATCAAAAGCATTGATTGCCGTATTTCTTTTGTATATGAGCAACATAACTTCTATGAATTTAGGCTGCTTTATTATATACATGTAATTATTATAAAATTGCTTAGATCTATTTGCACCTGTGTTTAAACCATAAGACTTAGGTGTAGATATGGGCATATGGATCCTTTACAGGGTTATATTATACTCAGGTGACCAATAAGGACCTCTTGCTATAGATGATATGTAACACATATGTAACTTGTAACATTCTAAAACAGAGACTTAACAGCCACAGTTTAAGATTAGTTTAAGTGTTTTTAGCTTTTTACATATTATTCATTTAAAAACTTCATGTTACGGAAAAGCCTTTAAAATAAGAAAGATGATATAATAAAGTGATCTTCTGTTTCAGATGCACAATAAATACAAACATGTACAGCAGGATGAAGGTGAGTGTTTATTTTTAATCTGAATTATAGTCCAATTTTTATGATCGGATACTTCATTACAAAACTATTTTTTTGCCACGAGGATTTTAATGATTTTTGGAATTGTAGTAGACTGATATATAATATTTTAGTGCCATAGATGTACCTCTATTTTGTCTTTTTTTGTATTTTGATAGTGATAATTTATGTTAGGTTTTAACAGCTAAAATTTCTATAAACATAAGCCTGATTTATTTTAAATTTTAAAATCATATATTCCTTCTGATTGTAATTTGATTACATGAGTGTGTGTGTGTGTGTGTGGGGGGGGGGGGGGGGGGGGGGTGATCAATTTAGATAAATGTTTAGGCTTCTCAGTATAAAGAAAATTCATGAATACATACCTGTAGGTGGTGAACATGAATTTCCACAAATATCCTATTTCCCACAGAAATCCTATTTGCATGACCTTATTTTTAATGACTAACTTATCACATGTTTTCTAATAGAGGAGGAAGATGAAGATGAAAAGGAAAATGATGATGAGGAGGAGAAGACAGAAGTCAAGAGCAGGTAACTCTTACTACTCATACTGTAAACCAGTCAATAAATGTTGTGACATAAAAAGTGAGGTCTCTTTTTCTAACGGACAGTGTATGTAGTGAAAGATATAGATGAAAAAAATTATGTTACTTCATCATCTCTAATTGATTTCATATAAAGGAATATATTGGTGTATTTTAGCCAGAAGAAAGGCTGGGGAAGCATTAAGAGGGCTCTAGGAGAGGTAGGATAAAGTTTTTATTTAGATTTAAAAAAGTTCATTTATGATTTTAAAGTACTTGTACCGGTAACATGAATATATATGCTCAGTTTATGAAGTCTTAATAACATTAACAATATCTTTATATGTGCTTAGCAAGACCATGAGCTTGTAAGTAGTGAGAACACCCATGTTATAATGACACCACACTCTGATCAGACATTGAAACTGCTTGTTAGATTCCAAACACCCACTCTGTAAACCACAGTCAGTAATAGGGTTTAACTGTCACAAAGATAGGAAATAATGGTGGATTTATTTTATAATTCTTAAAGAAGGAGTCAAATAATTTCTTTGTGTAACTGTAAAATATAATAATTGTACTGGAAGTAAAACTGCAGTGCATATTAACTAGTGATAAATTAATTTCACACTCATTTTTGTATATAATCTTGTGATTTTGTGTGTCATGTAACCAAACTATACCTAAATAACAAGATTGTGGTCCACAATATACAACAATAATTTAACTAACACAACAGTGCATGGTCTACAATATACAACAATAAATGGTGTACATAACTAAAAATGGTCCACAATATACAACAATTAATGATGAAGCTTGTATATGTAGTGTTCTGTCAGCTTTGTGATTAGTAGCAAGTTTCCATGAAATCCATTGTGATGTAGGAATGTCATGTGTTGCTTGATGCATGGTTGATTATTGTAGCAGATTAAGGATTGACATCAAACACTCCATTTTTTATGCATGTTTGAAATTCTAGAGAGATTTACATGTAACAGGATTGCTTACAAGGTGGTAGTTTCTTTTGAATGAATTGAACATATTTTATTGACAAAGTCAAAAGGATAAGACACAAGTTCTATAACTTAAGTAGACTTAATAAGGAATTCAATTCAAGGCTGGTTCATTAAAAGAATTAACATACATGCCAAGAGCACCTTTCTTGTGTAAGGTTTAGCTGCAGTTAAGTATGTGTGTGCTTATATTTCTACACTTGCTTTGATGATTTATGGTTTATCAGTAGACATCTTGCTTTATATATATGCCAAAAGGCAGTCAAAGTTTTTTACAAGAATCAGTATAGGGGGAGGACTAGGATATATGAAACCATAGAAATGATTCAGTATCGGGCAAAAGCAGAATACAGTACTAGTATAACATATTTGGGATAAACTGAACAGAGAGTTGAATAAATGACTTTCCATCATTCTTAATTTATGTGTAGGCAATATATATCATCTGTTATATGAAAATATTATTTCTGATTTCAAAGTAATCTTGCATACAATCACATACTTCTTTCAATTAAGATTATGGATTTGCTTTGTAATTTGTAAAAAGTTTAGATGTATGGATTTGCTTTGTAATTTGTAATAAGTTTAGATGTATGGATTTGTTTTGTAATTTGTAATTAGTTGCATTCTGCTTTGACCATTGTTTTAGGTTAAAAAACAGGTAAGACTAACTTAACCCTGAGCACAGTGTAAGCATGTCCTTCCTTCACAGAAATAATGATTCAAACCTGATTTAAATTATTTTTGGATATAAATCTGGGGTACCTAATTTTACCCTTTCCTCTTCTGTTGTCTGCATTGATTTACTAAAAAAAAAACCATAATTTGTTTATCAAGCCAATTAATTTTTATTTTCACTGTGGTTAGCTGATATATGTCATGTTTTATGTATATCCCATGCAGAAGAATTAATGTTAAAAATAAAAAAAAATTCTGAAAGTTTTACAACTGTGAAATGCTTAATTCTACTTTTAACTAGAAGTGTACTAGTTTTCCTCTATAAAACATATGATAGGATTTTTTTGAAAAACATGTATATTTTGCTTAATAGCATTAAAACTTCAGCTAAGCCATCCTTTACTCCTCTGCTTTGTTTTAACATATTTTGCAAACCTCAAATAAAGGTCTTGTTAAAGGGGAATACATGTACTTTTAATTTTATATGGTACATTATCAAGGGCATTAGATTAATTGTAGTTTATGTCAGAAATTTACTATGTTTTTTCATTTTTACCAGACAAGTGTAACGGATGTCCTACATGCTTTAGGAGCCATGCCCTCAGGATTTCGGCCTTCAACACTCGGTCCTAAGTTTTTCAAGGGTCAGTAAACAGGTTAACACTGTCAGGTACCAGTCTTAAATGTGCCAGATTTCTGTAAATTTGTAAATATCTTACATATACTTCTACTCTTTAAAATTTGGCTATTACCAGTATATTTATAATATGTATTTGCCAGAATACAACTAGGTGAAGACAGCTTTGATATTTGGTTTATATGAATTGGCTCCAAATTGGCATGCTTGTTGTACATCAACATAATAAAATCCTGATGTATTGTAGATGAGAATTTTACGATGACGAGCTACCTAGCACCGAAGTTAAGTGACTCCAATGTGTCATACAGGGACCTGTTCTACATACCCAAGGAGAGCAAGGTTAAATCAATAATACTTTATGACAATATATTTAACTGAATTATTGCCCCTCTCTGTAGGTGATCAGTCTGTCTATCTGACCATTCAGCTGTCTGTCTGTCTATTTAGCTGTTTATCTGTCCATTTGTCCATCCAATTTCATTTGTCCAGTGCATATTATCTCTCCCCTTGGCCCAGCTGGGCTCAAACTTCACCCATAGAGTGCCCATGGGTAGAGAATGTGCAGGACCCAGTTGGCTCATACATCTGTGGGTAAAGGGTGTACAGTGACCTTGAACCAATTTTTTAGACAAAAGGTCAAGGTCAGAAAACCTTTGCATAAAATCCATATTTTTCCTCCCCCTTGGCCCTATTTGGCTCAAACTTCACCAACAGAGTGCCTGTGGGTAGAGGGTGTGAGGTGTCCTTGAGCCAAGTTGTTAGGTCAGTGGTAAAGGTTATAGCAAATCTCTGTAAAAAATATTTGTTGCACATATTTTTCTCCTGTTGGCCCCATCTGGCTCAAACTTTACCCAGAGAGTGCCCTTGGATAAAGGGTGTGGTGCTTAACCAAGTGAAAGATCAAGACTTTTGTGTCAACTCCTTGTAGGGGGTACAAGTTCTCTCCCTGTAGTCCAATTCCTTTCACATCTCCTTTAAAATTATAATTATTTTCATTTGTGTAATTCTGGTAGTCAGTAAGTCAATAAAATTCTTTATTAAATCAATATTTTTAAAAATTTTCCTCTTTCCTTTTATGTATTTAACCCCCCGACCCCAACCACCCCACCCCCTGAAAAGAAGGCAGAAAAAATGCAAAAATATCTTTATGCCCCCGGATCGAAAGATCCCGGGGTATATTGTTTTTGTCCTGTCTGTCTGTTTGTCTGTTTATCTGTTTGTCTGTTTGTCTGTTTGTCTGTCTGTCTGTTGTCAACTTTAACCTTGCCCATAACTTTTGATTGGTTGGAGCTATGACTTTTATATTTCACATGTGTATTCCTTGTGCTAAGACCTTTCTTTGGGTACCATCATATTTGACCTTTTGACCTTGACCTTGGAGATTGACCCACTTTTGCAAAATTTTATGAGACTTTAACCTTGGCCATAACTTCTGAACAGTTGGGGCTTGGGGTTTCAAACATCACATGTGTATTCTTTGTGACAAGGCCTTCCTTTGGATACCAACTTCTTTGACCTTTTGACCTTGACCTAGGAGTTTGACCTACTTTTGAAAAACTTTAACCTTGGCCATAACTTCTGAACAGTTGGGGCTTGGGGTTTCAAACATCACATGTGTATTCTTTGTGACAAGGCCTTCCTCTGGATATCAACTTCTTTGACCTTTTGACCTTGACCTAGGAGTTTGACCTACTTTTGAAAAACTTTAACCTTGGCCATAACTTTTGAACAGTTAGAAATAGGGCTTTCATATTTCACATATGAAATCCATGTGACAAGACCTTTCTTTGGATACCATCACTTTGACCTTTTGTCCTTGACCTAGGAGTTTTACCTTCTTTCGAAAAACTCTAACCTTGGCCATAACTTTTGAATGTTGGTGCTAGGGCTTTCATACTTTACATATGTAATCCTTGTGACAAGACCTTCCTTTGGATACCAACAACTTTGACCTTGACCTTGATGTTTTACTTACTTTTAAAAAACTTTAACCTTCACCATAACTTTTGAACAATTGCATCTAGGGCTTTCAAATTTAACATTTTTTATCTTTTGGCCTGGATTTTGACTTGCATTTGAGAAACTTTAACCTTTGCCATAAGCTGCCATACAGGGGCATCAGTGTTTCACAAACACATCTTGTTATTCATTACACTGAGACAAAACTTTACCAAGTACAATATGGTCCTCTCCAAATACAGCCCTTAAGAACTACTTTTGATCCTAATGTCATTTTCTAAAAGCAGGGCCCTTTGAGATGGTCACCATCTCAACAATGTCTAGTTTCCCTTTATGTAAGCAATGTGGTATTTGTTAGATAAAGGACTGTTTGAATATTATTTACCACATATTTTTTCTTTTTACAGTTAAGACCATTTTCTACAAAGATGGACAGAATTATTCTGATTCAAGGATGTAAACAAATCCCACTGCCAGGAACTGGTTTGTTATCCATTGATATCTATTGTTGTGTATTGTATCACAGTTTTAAACAGAATATTTATTTCTTGTTACATTTCATTGCAGGAGTTGATGTTATCTATTGTTGTATATTGTATCACAGTTTTAAACAGCATGTTTATTTCTTTTTACATTTCATTGCAGGAGTTGATGTGGTGGGACGGCATGTCAGAATGTGCCTATTTGATGGACACAATGTAAGTAAATGTATACTAACCAACCTGTTAATGCAACAAGTATATAGTATTATTGGCACTAAAGCAAATAGGGAAGGGGAGGGTCATGATTAGCAAGAATAGGATTTTTTATGCCCCCATAATTGAAGATTTGATATTTGCTCTGACCATCTGTCTGTCTGTTGGAAAACATTTAACATTGCCCATAACCTTTGATTGGTTGGATCTAGGGCTTTCATATTTCACATATATGTTCCTTGTGACAAGACCTTTCTTTGAGTATCAACATATTTGACCTCTTGACCTTGGAGTATGACCACTTTTGCAAAATTTTACCAAACTTTAACCTTGGCCATAACTTTTGAACAGTTGTTGCTAGGGCTTTCATACTTCACTTGTATATTCCTTGTGTAAAGACCTTCCCTTCAGGCACTAACAAGTTTGACCTCCTTTCGAAAAAATTTAACCTTGGCCATAAATTTTGCATGGTTGGTGCTAGGGCTTTCATATTTCACTTGGTTTTCCTTGTGATAAAACCCTCCTTGGGTACCAAAAATTGTAACCTTTTAGCCCTGTCTTTGGAATTGGGGGCAAGGACTTTCATATTTCATAGGTATGTTCCTTATCACCTTTTCTTAAGTACCAATATTTTTGACCTCATGACCTTGAGCTTGGAGTTTCACCTACTTTTGACCTTGACGATAATTTCTGAATGGTTGCTGCAAAGGCTTTCATATTTCACAGGTGTATTCCTTGTGACAAGACCTTTCTTTTAGTACCAACATTTTTGATCTGTTGACCTTGGAGTTTGCCTTGCATTTGAGAAACTTTAACCTTCACCATGAGCTTGCCGTATGGGGGCATCAGTGTTTCACAAACACATCTTGTTATTTTTCTTATTTTTTGTATTATTTTGTTGTTTTTTTTTCTTTAATTTCTAATTTTAAGAACTACCTCAACACACAAAAAAATGCCAAAAGTATAGAGCAAATATATATACATGTATATGATTATTATACTTCTTTTAAAGTGTTTTCTATATAAAGTTTTGAACTTCAAGGTAAAATAACTATTTTTTCTAGCTTGAAAATTTTCAAGTGTAGCTAAGCTATACCCTGGGGTGATTATTAATCTTTGAGGATGAGTTCATTTATGTTAATTTTCTCTTTAAAATACTGTATAAAAATATTTGCACATAAACCTCATATAGCATAAATTCACTAATAGTTTACTGTATATATACAGATGCTGAGTAACATCCATACAGTGAAAGTGACATCAGTTGACAGAGAACAGAAAGCCTGGTCATTCTCCTCAAAGGTAAAAATAGACACGAAATATACAGGAAGTATGATCATTGTCCTCAAAGCTAAAGATAAACAAAAACTACTGGAAGTGTGATCATTGTCCTCGAATTGAAAATAGACACAAAAAGTACAGGAAGTGTGGCCATTGTCCTCAGAGCTAAAGATAGGCACATATAGGACAGAAGTGTTATCATTCCCCTCAAAGTCAATAACAACAAATGAAACAAATTTTAATATTTTTCACAAAGTTTTGAAGTTCAAATAAAATATAAATATGCATGTAATAAGAAAAAAATGTTCAAAATGAGAAGCAAAACCAGTAGTGAAACTTTATTTTATAGTCTCAAAGGTGCATAGACACAGATTTGAAGTTTATATTTTCTAAAATTTTCTGTATAATATCAAACTTATATGGTGCTATAGCATTTCACACGAAAATAAAATAAAAAACTTATTTAATCTGGAAATTATTGAAACTACGAATTTTGGGAGGCATTTGATTAACACATCCTTGCACTTTCACAATTTTAACTTTATCCTTAATACTTAAGAAAAGTAGCAATTTTGTTGTGTATTAATGAATAATATTACACCTATAATCCAGAAAATTCAGAGTAAAAATGTGCGAAAGCAAAACCCACTCACTTAAGAATTGTCAACCCATGCTCAGTATTGTGTAGTTGAGTACAGAGTTTAACAAAGTGAATACACCCATGAAACGTAAACTGTTTTTGTAAACAGGGCACAAGCTCTGTTGTTGTTAATGTTTACATTTCACCGGGTGTGTTCAATTGTTAAACTCTGCACACACCGCTGAGCACGGACTGACAATACTGGTGAGAGGATTTTGCTTTCTACATTTCTACCCTGAATTTTCCGGATTATGTTTTTAATATTTTTCATTAATACGCAACAAAATTTCTACTTTTCTTAAGTATTAAGGCTAACGTTTTACTTTGTAAAAATGCAATGATGTGTCTATCAAACGCGCCCAGAAATTCAAAGTTTCAATAACTTCCAGATAAAATAAGATTTTATCAAATTTTCGTATGAAATGCTATAGCAACATATTAGTCATGAAATTATACAGAAAATTTGAGTAAATATTAACTTCAAATCTGTGTCTAAGCACCTTTAAAATTGCTTTGATGTTTGACATCAATAGACTTTTGTACAGAGGTACATCCTTTGTTTGTCTTTATGCAGATCAGTGATACAATGGACCCATACCTCCACAGTGAGGTATTCATCAGATCTAACGACACCTCCAAGTCCACAGTTGGTCAGTATCCATGACAACAGTTCACTTGTTAAAGAAAAATGTCATTTTTTTTTTATTAATGAACAGAATTGACTATTAATGGAGTGACATTTATTTTTACAGGAATTTTATTTGAGTTATGTGTATCATACTGCAAAACTGTAAGTACATCATTTACTCTTTGGCTACTTTACTTTGCATGAATATTTTGTTTTTTTATCATCATAGCAGTACAATAAAACACCATTATAGTGAACTTGGATATTGTGTGTGAATTCATGCTTACAACGAGCTTCTGTTTACTTCATAAAATCATCAAGAATTAACTCAATATAACAAGGAAATTTCAGCCAGACCTGATGTTGGCTATAACCATGTCTTATGGTATTATTTATCTTTAGTGAATGGCTATAACTGTGTTTTACTGTACAGTATTCTTTATCCTTAGCGATCCCTTTTTTTGTGCATATATATAGTGATATTTGCATGTAAATGCACTAACAGTATTTCAATGCAAATTCAAACTCTCTGAGAATTTGTCTTATATAGTTTATCTGTAGTATTTGAAGTAATTTTTAGTTTAATAGTTTGTGTTCTTGTTTTATGGTTTGGTTCATTTACATGACATCATTTTTCATCTCTCAGCCTGAGGAAAACAAACAGAATTCAGTAAGTAAATATGACCTTGACCTTTCTGAGTGATCTTTCACTGTCATTGTTTTTCATGTCTTCAAAGAAGGTGCACCAAGATCACCAATCAACATTTCATCTTCAGACTTCTTGAGAGTTACAAACTCTGCACACTTTAATTAACACAAATATGATCATGTGAGAATTTTTCTCCCACTATCATCATTGTATTTAATGCTGCTGTGTGAGGAAAACTTAATTAGCATACCTACATAATTAAGGGACATTAAACATACCGGTATATCTCATAATGTCAAACCTAACTGAACATAGTAAATATTTGTATATAAATACTTATCAGTCAAAATTCATAAAACCAGCTATGAACAAAAGTTCCAGTATTACTGCTATACTCTCTGCTATCTTTAACTTCTGTAACTTCAACAGCAGAATATTTACAACCATAATACATAAAATCTATATAAATACTGCTACTATGCAAATTTCATCAAACATCTCTCTTAATAAACCATCACTGAATACTAAATTCTCAGTAAGCTAGACATTCCTTTAATAAGGCCATATCATTTAGTCCTGTAGGCGACCAGTTTAAAGCAGTTTTACTGTATTCAGAGTATTCATTTTCCTAGTAAGCTATAACTCATTTTTGTCTCTTTCCCAGAGTTTGTTAAAAAATGATGTACACATCCTTGAAGGTTTAATATCACTAGAATATACCATAACCAACATGACCAAGCCATTCCTCAGAAGTGTTCACATTTTCAGACATTTGTTAAATTCTACCTGAATGTGGAAGAAATGGAATTGAAATGTCTTTTAGTGATGAATGTTTACGTCATGTTTCTTGTAGAAAACCAAAGAGTATGGAGAATTTAGCTGTGGATGGGTCCACCTTCCTTTGGTGGAAGAGAACGGAGGTGTGATAGCAAACAGGTAAATTATATAAATAGAAGTCAAGGTAAGATCTACCAAGGTCCAGTTTTGTTTTTATAAACAATTACGGTACACTCTTTCATTGTGCAAAATGATTTTATAATTATTATCTAGTAGAGTTTCTCAGAGTCAGATTTATTTTGGGACTTTGAGGCCTTCTCTCTTTTTCAGTGGGTTTTTTGTGTTATTTTTAGATCTTTTGATCTCTATGTTAATGGAGGAACTCCTTATGAGAAAGGAGTGGAAGTAGACCCCAGCATCAGTAGGAGAAGTAAGTACATGGGTGGTTCTAGAGGGGTGTAGTCTCTCATTGAAAGACACATCAAAATATTCAGTAATTAATTGTTGTTTTGAACAAAAACATGAACCAAGGTTTTCATGATTTTAATCTCTTAATAGGAACAGTGCAAAATCTGAGTGGTAACTGAAATATCATTATTTTTGTCTTTCTTTACATTTTAATATTTTAAAGTTATCATATTCATTTTTTTATTTCATTTGCATTTCATGTTTTGAAAGTTAAGCTTTTTTTAACATATTTTTTAAGCTCACTTCAATGAGGTTAAGATGAGCTTATGCTTTACCCTAAACAAAAGGAGCATGCCCCACTTCTGAAGTAACTGTAATCCATATCTGAACCAGAATTGTATGGTTGATATATCAAGGGATGCACACTTGTTTGTAGATCAGATTTGCCTCAGATGCTGCATCTGGATGACCAGATAGAAGTCTTTGGAGCAGATCCATTCCCAAATAATTTTAAGTTCTATGTAGACCAAATTTGGCATGGATAATGCATCATGCATGCACACTTTCAAACTTGCTTTTGGTGATGCCTCTGACATATATTTTCTCAATATCTGAATAGGTTTAAGTTTTGGTGGCAAGTCTTTTCCCAAGTTATTGTAAGCCCTATCTGGACCAAACTTCCAAGGATGAAGCATTTAGGAATGCACACTTCCAGACAAGCTTCAGATACTAAATCTGGGTCTATTTTCTGGATGAGTGAATAGTTTAGAGTTTTTGAACTTGTCCACTTTAAGACATAATAGCTTTAAAGCCCACCAGACTTGCTCCAGATGTATATATTTTCTTGATAAGTAGCTAGGTCAATTTTTGGAGCTGGTATACTCTTAGGTTTATATGGAACGTGTCCTACCTGCTTAGGTAAATATGGTATGTATACTACCCAGACCAAACTTGCATAGATGATGCAATTTCAATACTAACTGCCTTGCTTTATAAGATGCTGCAGGTGAGGTATATTAAGATATTAGATATTAAACAATAATAACTGCAGTTTTTTAAATATACTCTTAGCTTCGTTTAGAAGTAATCTTGAAAAGTTTTATGCAAAATAATGTCTCTTCTTGCCAATTTATGGAGTTCATTGATATATACATGCATCTATTTGCTTTGAACAGTTCACGTAGATAGCTAGCCTGATTTTAATTTTGATGAAATTGATTTATCTTTGTGTATATATATATATATGTATATACATGTATATGTACAGACATGCATGATTTGAATATCTGTGAAAGTTGTACGTTTGATTTTTATGTTATCCCAGCTGCCAGTAGTTCATTCATGTCCATGCTGTCAGGAAACAAACAACCCCGACTGAATGTCAAGGTTATGATACCAAAAGCAGAACAGAAGGCCCAGCTAGAGTAAGTATGCTTCCTTAAGTAGAGTAAGTATGCTTCATTAAGTAGAGTAAGTATGCTTCCTTAAGTAGAGTAAGTATGCTTCCTTAAGCAGAGTAAGTATGCTTCCTTAAGTATGTTTTCCTTCTGTTAAAACTAGGGCTGTGTATCATCAGGGAAAAAAGTATCACAATGTGTCACAGTATTTCAGAAAAATATCACAAAAAATTACAATATATCAAGTTTTCATATTGATTGGATTCTCCATGATTATTTATTTGACTTTAAGGACAAAATATGGAAGTCAGCATTTCCTTTTTTCAACAAATCTGATTCTAGTAGTCTTAATACTAGGGCTGGGTATCGGTTGAAAACTTGGTATTGCGATATATTGGGATATTTGGAACTGTATTGCGATATGTATTGCAATATTTTTAATAACAGTTAAAATGCTCTTTTCTTATTCTATTAACCTCCATTTATAAGAAGAGTGTATAAAACTTTTATAAATATGTTGTAACAAAAAAGTTCTAGTTGATTTCACTACAGTTCAGCAACGAAATGTAATCATACAACAGAAACCTTTACCGTTTGGTACTGTTTGGCACGATTGAAAACGTTTCTGACATCTTAAATTGCATATTTTAGTTCATAAATCTATCGGTACTAGAAAAACGTATCGCAATACAATATTTTTTGTTAATGAATTGCAATATACCGGAATATCAATATTATTGCACAGCCCTACTTAATACTTCCTAAAACTAACATAAAAGCAAAGTGAAAATGTACTCTAATTTGGAAACCAAAATGTGTGCATTACAGCTATATACTTCTAGAAAGTAGCAAAAAAGACTAGATACTTCATTTTATATTTTCAACATTTCATATCAACCCCCCCCCCCCCCCCCCCCTGCATCCCAATACATCCATGTATTGTCACATTCCTAGTAAACATTGATTGTACTCTAGGACCAGTTTCAATATAGAATCCATCACCATATCTGGTCTACTGTAGATGTTGAAAAGTTACAGGTTACAAGACACATTAGGATTATAATAGTGTTATTGTACATGTGAATTCATTGGTTAGTCTAAATGAGAAATTCACATTTTGTTTACATTGCACTTAAAGCTGTTAAGACTGAAGATGCAGAGGATATTAGATTATTTGGTGACTGTGTTTACATGTTCTCTGTTATTGTAAACCATTACAAGCATTTGGATTAAGATCTGACAGCTAATAATGCATATGTATGTATGTACATAGTATTAATGAAATCCTGTTCAATTTCAGCAACCTTCCAGAAGTGTTGCTAGGCAACGTTGCTCTCCTGCCATATTACTCGTACTACAGACAGATTCTAGCTGACGAACTTCTGAGGAATCGTCTGGACTACAATTCCACAGGTCAGAATTAGGTCATACTGTAAACTATATCTTGTTAATTATGAGCTTATTTTACCACAGCAGAGAGAACAGTGAGAGTCTCCTATAAAACTATTTATTACGGATGATTGAATGTGTTCACAGAACTACTGCACAGTCCTGTTTTAGCAGTTTTTCCAAAGGCTGCCGATCAGCATGATCTGATGAAAGTTTTGAGGGTATGTTGTTCTAGAAACAAATTTTTAGATGTGTTATTTATCACTTACATTGTATTGAAATGTAAACTGTACATGTATTTTTTTTTACATAAATTCAAATAGAACAACATATATGCTGAGATGTTAAAAATACATGTATTATACCAGTATGCCTTGATAAAGTAAAACAAAGTAAAGACTAATACTTCTGATTGTTTTTAAGGATACCTACATATCAAAATCTAAGACGGTAAAACGAGTGGAAATGGTATGTATACCTTGAAAGAAATTCCTGACTTGCTTTAGCTGTAGAATTTGGCTCAAATTCATAGAAATGATTTTTAACATATAATTTAATTACATATGTAAATATGTACATTTACCTACATATGTAAATTTTAGAGTAGAGCAAATAAGAGTTAAATGTTAGCAATAAATATATAGATGCTTAAATGAAGTTATCAACATAGAGTCTTTATCTTGAGAGATTTATTTATAATATAAGATTTGTAAGAAATGAATACTGGGTGCTGTTGCATATTTAGTTACACAATTAAGCAGCCAAATTTTATACACAGTTAAAAAATAGGTAAATACCGTATAAGCAGAAATTTTAGCAAGGATTCAATTTTGGCTATTTTAGCGATGATTCTGAGATCGCTAAAATTGAATATCGCTAACAATTTATTCCATATCAGTTGTTATAGCTATCTCTCTTGACATTATAAAATTTCTAAAATTTAGTACCATTTTGGGGGGATAAATTGCTAAATTTGGGTCTGGCTAATATTTCCACTTATACGGTCCTGTAGAACTAGGTGCATTATTTCATAGGAAAGTTGATATAAAATCATGTGTATGCTTCATACTATCAACAGTCATCTTGAAATATTGTGAAATATTAATGAATTGGCAGAATTCAATAAATATTCCTTCATCTGTGTTGAGGATTAACCTCCATTGATACACTATAATAAATGTCTCGGTTTTCTGATCAAAATTTATTCCGCTTCTCCATATCTTTTCATATCTTTCACATTCTTCCAATCACTTCTGCATGACAATGCAGTGTCAAAACTTTGCACAAAAATTTCTCAGTTTTGTTTTGAAGTAATATTGTTTAGCTGATGAGTAAGCGCATGATTTGTACATGGTTTTCTATCTTCTGGGCAGAATTACTTTCTGTTTAGAATGGCTGCATGACCAGTTTTTCAAAATTGTGTAAAATTGTCTGGTAGGCCAGTAATTTATATGATCAATTTTGAATTTTAAAGATCAATAAGAATTACATGACCCATAAGCACATACATGTCAAAGATTTTCTGTAGTGTGCTGTAGAATCATTATATCATGGATTTAGCCCACAAATTTACAATTTCAACTAATGCTGATCTAAAGGATATATTTTCCATAATGAGATTTTCACAAATGAAATCTAATCCCAAGGACCTATGGCAATCCTTAAAAATTTAAATATTTCCACAGTAGTTATTTTCATTACTGTGTCTTTAATGACTTAAAAAATGTTAGGTGGTTATTCTTAGTATTCATTAAGATTAAAAAATAGATTCTGTTTGATCATTGCAAAATCAGCATTTTCTACCAAAGCATTGCATGTTCAGTCACAAGGTTTGGCCCACAGAAGTAGATACAACTTCAGAGTGGGCGTGGTCATTGCATGTCCAGTCACAAGGTTTGGCCTACAGATACAACTTCAGAGTGGGCGTGGTCATTGTTTTTCTGTTGTACCATCCAGCTTTTACCATTAGTTCATAGCATGCATTGTGTGTGTTTATTCATCTCTGTATTTTGCTTTGCATGTCCACAGCTGGTAAGTGAAGGAGAAGGGTGTTGTTTGATTTTGAGCCCTAATTTATTTTTTACATTTAACTTGTGCTTTCTCTAACATTTGTTTTCATTTATCAATGTTTTAATATATTATGTGACTGTATACTTATCACTTTCGGGTAACTTATTCTAAAATTAGGGGGAAAAAAAAGCCTAATTCAGCTTGCCCAGGCAATAAAGCTGCAGAAAAGATAGTTTCAAAATGTCATATTAATTCAGTCTTTATTGTTAATTATTGGTGCCAAATTGTATTTATAATGATATAATTTGTTGGGGGGGGGGGGAGGGGGGTGTCAGTGAATCTAAATATAGTTTAGTCGGTGTACAAATTACTTCAATTGAGATCTAAACATTTATTAGTCATCAATAAGGTCGATATTGTTTTTGATCAACATGTTCAGGAGAACAGCAGTATTATGTTAACACTCTCTAAAGAAAATGATTAAACTCTTTTAATGAATTAAATCAATGAATCAGGTATTTTTATGACAGTCTACAGCTTTCATAAAGCATACAATTAGTTTTTGGATTCTTTTCTCTATGAACATTTAGTAATGTAGTGTTGGATATACCTGATCAATACATAGGGCTCATTGGGGTGTAACCAGTCAACGGGGGATGCTTACTCCTCCTAGGCACCTGATCCCACCTCTGGAATTTCCAGGGGTCCATATTTTATGCCTAGTTCACATATTTGTTTGTTTTTAGAGATAGATCACGGTTCGTTATCTTAACCTTTTTCATATACCACAAACTTTTGTTTGAGTACTGTAAACGCATTTATTTTAGCGGGAATCATATTTTAGCATGTTTTATGCTGCTTCATTTGTCTGCTTATTTATGTACATGCTAATATATGATTTAAATCAATACTTGTCATTTTGAAGACTCAAGTACGCTAATTTATGATTGTACTAATCAGTTGAAGATGAAGATTGCTCTAATTTTGGGGTGGGCTAATTTATGGACGTTTACAGTATAATTCTCTTTTCACCAAGAGTCCTAACTCAATACACAGGAAGCCTAAAATTTTACTCCTATTCACTGCTGTACCATGGAAATCCTTTCAGTGGTTCTTAAAATGACAGTTATCAAGAAAACACAGACATGTAGCATACATATTCTGGAGATTTTTTTCAGAATATAAGCTCAGCTATATCTGTTCCACTATCCCCCCTTCCCCACACCCCTTTCCCAATTTATATTGGTAATTTTCACTGACCATATTTGTTTATTTGGTTACCAGAATGAAGTACTGTGACCTTATGCTAACTTCTATCTTGTGTAACAAAGCATCTGCTTTTTATGTACATACATCACCTACACTGCCAAGCATCCAGGCAACTGATGATCAACTGCTTGTTCATACTTTATACCACAACTGTAAACATCACTGTTTATACCACAACTGTAAACACCACTCCTATATTACATATGTCACCTACACTGCAGAGTAACTCATGATCAGCTTCATGTTCACACTGTATCAACCACAACTGTAAACATTGCTGTGGTCCACTCCTATATTACATATGTCACCTACACTGCAGAGTAACTCATGATCAACTGCATGTTCACACTGTATCAACCACAACTGTAAACATTGCTGTGGTCCACTTCTATTTTATTCAATTATTTACATGTACTATATTTATGATATTGTTTATTTTAGTGCAGGGTTGTTGGTAAAAGTATACATTTATTTTTTAGGTTTTTAGGTCACCTGAGTCACTCAGGTGACCTATTGGTACATGTATCTGTTTTTGTCCGTCGGTGTGCGTCTTGTGATGTGCGTTAACATTTGAACATTTTTAGCTTCTTCTCTGAAACCGCTCAACCAATTTCAACCAAATTTGGCATATAGCATCTATGGGTGAAGGGGAACAAAAATTGTGAATTTCATGGTCCCTGCCCCCCTGGGGCCTGAGGGGTGGGGCTAAAACCAACAAAATTAATGCAATCTTTAAAAATCTTCTTCTTTACTCCTGGACATCAAGCAGTCAAACTGTTGGCATCATTGTAATAAGCACTGAGCCCTCTACCAAAATTGTGAAATTCATGGCCCCAGGGTCAGGGGTTCTGGTGCTAGGGTGGGGCTATATAGATCATATAGTGAAAGTGCATTATTTCTTTGAAAATCTTCTTCTCTGCTCCTGGGTATTAAATAAAGTAACTAAGTATATAGTTATGATGAGTAAGAGTGCCTCTTCCAAAATTGTGAATTTCATGGCCCCAGGGTCAGGGGTTCTGGTGCTGGGGGAGGGGGGGGCTATATAGATCATATAGTGAAAGTGCATTATTTCTTTGAAAATCTTCTTCTCTGCTCCTGGGTATTAAATAAAGTAACTAAGTATATAGTTATGATGAGTAAGAGTGCCTCTTCCAAAATTGTGAAATTCATGGCCCCAGGGGCAGGGGTTCTGGTGTTAGGGCGGGGCACTATTGATTATATAGTGAAAATGCATTAATTCATTGAAAATCTTCTTCTCTGCTCCTTGGTATTAAATAAATGAACTAAGTACATAGTTAGGATAAGCAAGAGTGTCTCTTCCAAAATTGTGAATTTCATGGCCCCTGGGTCAGGGGATCTGGTGTTAGGGCGGGGCTCTATTGATTATATAGTGAAAATGCATTAATTCTTTGAAAATCTTCTTCTCTGCTCCTGGGTATTAAATAAACTAACTAAGTCAAAGTTAGGATGAGCAAGAGTGCCTCATCCAAAATTGTGAAATTCATGGCCCCAGGGGCAGAAGTTCTGGTGTTAGGGCGGGGCTCTATTGATTATATAGTGAAAATGCATTAATTCATTGAAAATCTTCTTCTCTGCTCTTGGGTATTAAATAAACTAACTAAGTACATAGTTAGGATGAGCAAAAGTGCCTCTTCCAAAATTGTGAATTTCATGGCTCCTGGGTCAGGGGTTCTGGTGTTAAGGCGGGGCTCTATTGATTATGTAGTGGGAATGCATTAATTCATTGAAAATCTTCTTCTCTGCTCTTGGGTATTAAATAAACTAACTAAGTCAAAGTTAGGATGAGCAAGAGTGCCTCTTCCAAAATTGTGAATTTCATGGCTCCTGGGTCAGGGGTTCTTCTTCTCTACTCCTGGGTATTATTGAAACAAATAAATACATAGTTATGATAATCAAGGATGCCTCTTCCAAAATTCTGAATTTAATCACCCCAGGTTTAAGGGTTTTAGTGGGGAGTGGGGGTGGGGGTGGTGTGGGTGGTAGGGGGGCTTCTATTGATTATAAAGTGAAAAAGCAAAATTCCTTTGAAAATATTCTTTTCTGCTTCTGAATAAAAAAAGCAAAGAAGCTAAGTGTATAGTTATGATGAGCAAGAGTGCTTCTTCCAGAGTTGTGAATTTCATGACCCCTGGGTCAGATGTGCTGGTGTGAGGGTGGGGCTCTTGATAATATAGTGAAAATGCATTAATTCTATTAAATAATCCTATTTGCTCCTTAGTGTTAAGCAGATAAACAAAGTGATTAGTTATGATGAGCAAACTTATGGTCCCAGGGTCAGAAGCTCTGGTATTTCGGGGGGGGGGGGGGGGGGGGGGGGGCCTCTATTGATAATATAGTGAATCTGTTGATCATGATCACCCTATTTTTCTTGCTTTTGGGCAACAAAGCTTCACTTTTCAGTTCATTTTATACTCTATGCATCCTTTAAATTGTTGTATCATACTCAGGTGACCGTTAAGGCCCTTGAGCCTCTTGTTAATAATTCTAATAATATTTAGCCTGTACATGTTAAAATTTGTCATTCGAACATTATATAGGACTGGTGAAAAATATTTCAAAATTTGATTATGTTAGAATTTTTTTTGAATATGCATGCATATGTACATGTACCATACATACTCACCTATAAGTCTGCCCACTTTTAAGTCTGGTGTATATTTTTAGGTAACTTTGGAGGGATTTTTTATTAACCCTCTTATAATTTGGTGCAACTTTTTGCCAAAATCAGTTGACAATTTCAGATCAGTGCTCTAATTTTTTTACCTGTGTTTCAAATAATATTTTGGGAAATAACATCGATACACACTTTAAGATTTTCCTTAAAGTACTACATTTTGCCATTTTGGAAAATACTAGGGATGTCAATTTTGTCAATAATTCATATTCGAATATTCGATGAAAGTATTCGAATATATTCGAATATTCGATAAAATAAATAAATCTGTTTTATTTTAAATATGCATCATCCTACTCTCATGAAAGGTTTAGCGTAGGTATACTTATATTGGAAGTAAAATTGTATGAAGACATTTGTAGGTGTACAATAAGAAATTCCTTTTGATATTTGTCAATGTTTGAAATAAATAATTGATTTAAATGTACAAAAGTGTAATTTTAACAAATGAAACATGTATTTATAGTAGCTCCAACTGAGGAACCAGTCGTCTAACAAAAGGCAAGATTGTCGTAACTGTATACTGTTCAGATTTCAATACGTGTAATAAATTACCAGTACAATTATCTGCCTAATAAGAGATATGATTATAATCTTTGATACAATGTAAACAAATATTTTCATAGACAATTTTCCTAGGTAATTAACTAATTTCCCGATAATGAATATAAAATTCAGGATTATGAACAACCCGAGATAATCAAGTAATTTACAATTTTTTTCTGAAATTAAGCCCTTTACAATATTAATTACAGATTAATTCTATCGGACATTCATTCAATGATCAATTAATTTTATTTTGATAAGTGTACTCTTTACGGCTTTTAGACATTCTTAGATTTCATTTTTGTCCTCGATTCCAGATCCGATCGCATCTTAAACTGATAAAAACTATGAAAGTACGTTTTGTTGTATACATAAAGCATTTTTGTACAATTCTTTAACCCCTTAAGTACTCAAAACAAAATACATGTAATTAAGTAAATCTATAAGATAAGAAAGTAGTGAAAGAAATCAGGCGATCGAAATTGATCGCTAGTAAATTAAACAGGGATAATTCCAGCACTGTTCTAATTAAAATTTATTAATGATAGTACATGTATTTCTTTTTATGAAATCTGAAAAACACTGAATATTCGAATCTTAAATTCATATTCAAATATCAACTCATCGAATGAATATTCGAATGTTCGAATATTCGTTGCCATCCCTAGAAAATACCAATGTTTCTGGAACTTACCTATAAGTCAGACAAATAGTTCTGGTGCAAATCTACATGAAACTCCCAAAAATCTGACTTATAGGTGAGTATATATGGTATGTGCTTTTCTAATTGTGTATTGTATACATGGTAGAAAGTTGATCCACTTGTAATTATATAGATTGCTTCTGTTATGAGTCCCAGCCTATTTATTAAAACAGGTTATAAGTATTACAGTTAAATCTCAATATTCTTGGTAATGTAATTGTGTAAAGATTCATACAAGGAAGGGGCTTGTTGAAACAACTGGGCTTTACTGGCTCATAAATTAGAATATAGTGCATTTATTCTAAAACTACTTTTTGATTCATTAAATGTTCAGTGTTGATTAAGGCTGGTTATTCTGTGTTTTACAGAGAGACAGCGAGTTTATGAAAAAGTTCTTCAAGGACTGTGTGTTAGAGAGTGTCTACCCACTCATGCATGACCTGAATCTAAAACCTTACAGGTCTGGGAATGTCCAAATTGAGGAGGTATTTATTCTAGAAAACAGTAAATGATAAGAAAAAGATTGAATGTTTTTAACATTGTGTACTTCACTAATACTAAAGTTTGCTGTTTACTTTGTAAATATGTAATAATTAGATTAAAGAGGTTTAGGTTTCAGATGCTTAGGTGTAAAGAATATGTTTTAATTTGTTTAATATTTTCAGGAAAGACTTGAAGAAATTAACAATTTCCTGACTAAAAAGACTGAGAGAAAAGGAATTCTAGCTCTGCTATTATCCTCGGAGATTGAATTCTCTCCCTTGGACATTAAAGAGGTTGCTTTTGATGTCATTGGACCACATTGTTTGGCAGCAAATTCCCAGGTATATCAGATAATCAGCTGATAATCAATACCCATGAGTAGTGTCTAATCATCTCAGCTGATAATCAATGTCTATCAACTCAGCTGATAATCAATACCAGTAATTAGTGTCTAATCATCTCAGCTGATAATCAATAACAGTGGGTAGTGTCTAATCATCTCAGCTGATAATCAATAAGTGGATATAAACTCAGCTGATAATCAATAAAAGAGGATAGCATGTTTATTATCTCAGTTGATAATCAATTCAATGTAACTGTTTGTAGTGTCTATCAGCTCAACTGATAATCAATATCTGTAGACAATGCCTATCAGCTCAGCTGATAATCAGTAACAGTGGGTAGCATGTCATTCAGAATCTTTTATTTTCAGGTTGTTGCAAATGGCTGAAAATGCAGAGCACTATAAAAACTTGAATAACTGTGATTGACTGTGATAGGAGCAAGTATTGTGGCAGTTATAATGGTTGTACTTTAGACTTTAGAGCCAAGAGATTTTATAAGCCTCTCAGTAGGAGGACTGATCTCAAACAGGGAAGGCTTTATACCAGGTTGTCATATACATTGTACATTGTAACGGCAGCTTCCTAATGTGGAGATTTTACACCCAATAAATTATTCTTATTAAGACTTTTTAAAAAGTAATTTATGTATTGTTGAGTTTCTCAAGTAAAGGCATTAATTATAAAGATATGTATTTGAGAGAGAGAAGGGGAAGAAGAGAGAGAGATTTTGCTGTTGAGAATGGATATATTTACTAAATACAGGAGAAACAAATTTCATTTTGTATCTTTACTACCCCAATTTCAGCCCAAGTTTTGCCATGTGGACAAGACATTCTACAGAATATTATCATTGTTTTCATGTCTAAGATATATTTTATAGCTGTAATTGATAGTGTTAATAAAAAGAATTATTTTCCTTATTGGGTATACTGAATATTGAAGCCAAATTCTGATGGCACTGGAAATGGCGATAGGAGCTATCGAAGTGCCAGACTGGAATTGAGGTATACTCTCGATCGATCGATCTCGACCATAGAAAAAATAACCTCAATATAAGATACAAGTTTTATTGTCCATTTTTGTGCCCATTCCCAAAGTGTATTGTATAAATATTATATTCTTATGAATATGTTTTGGATTTTATTGGTACAGAGGAGGACGACAATCAGAGAAAATTATGACCAGGTTAAAGTTATTATTGGAGCAAGCCCTTACTCAAGTAACTATAAGCCTTAAATTGACAATAATTTTAACTTGGATTGTAATTTTACAAACTAGAAAAAATTACATAATTCTGAGACAGATTTTAAGAAAACTCGTATATATATATATCATATATGTATCGAAAAATAATTCTGTTACTGACACTGAGCTTCTCAAAGGAGAATCATTAAGTTTAATATAAAAACAAATAAATATGACTTGGAGGCCCCAAATAGAAAGCTTTTTCTCGAAATACGTGATGGTCAGGTACCTCTCATACCGAACAAAGTTGTGCCGATGTGCCAGTCTTAGATTTTCTTGTCACAAACAAAAAAAAAGTAATTTAATTTTAAAGTACAAAAAAAGTGTTTTATTTCTAAGCATAAAGATATATTTACCTGCAAAAAAAAAATCACTTCGACATACATGTATATTTTTATACATAGGCGTCGGAAGCAAATTGAAGGGGGGGGGGGGCTAAACGACAAATAAAAGGTAAGCCCCAATTTTCAATGCCTGTATTATGCCTATCTTTGCAAAAAAGCGGGAGGGGGGCTAAGCCCCCCCCCCCCCCCCGGTTCCGACGCCTATGTTATCCCCTACTACCCAAACTCCGTCACCATAAGCGGAAAACACGTCAGTTTACTCTCTGAATTATTTTTTGATTTTTTTCTTGTTTGCTACACAGGCACTTGGGGTCTGGACCCCCCCCCCCCCTTTCCATTTTTTTTTCTTTTTAAATATGAGGTCGAGACACCTTTTTCCTATTTTTGTATTCTAATATGCACTATATGTTATCAATAATGTAACTCTTTTGTCTCTATATACTGTTTTTAAATATACCGTTTTTCGACTGATACATAACAAGAATAGATATGGGTTACCCCATATCCAAGATATTCGGCTTTTAATTTATTCGAATTTTCATTGTGCTCAGATGATTTCTAATTAAAAAAAACTATTTACTGATAAAACGTCAGAAATACTCAAGCTGTAGAAAGTCAACTACTAGTATACAATGGCCATAAATATCCTAAAATGACATAATATTTAGGCTACTGAGTTTCAACATCTTTTGTTGAATAAAATATGCATGTACTAAGGAAACTGCATGTACATATATAACGTTACATGCTGTGTAGTGACTTTTCTTATCACAACGTTGCAGATGCCTAAAGAAAATAGTTTTAATTTCACATTAGAACATAGACTAAATATAATTAACCGTATAATTTTAAAGATGTATTTAACAGCTCACTCATTTTCAGGAATATTTAATCCAAATAGCATGTTACAGGCCTGTAGCAACGTTTTCAAAGTGAAGGGGTGGGGGGGGGGGGCTCCAAAAAATCCCGCGTACTATGGGCCTGTGCTACATGTGTACCATCTAACTTTCCAATGATAGAATCTTCTGTAAAAATTCGAAACAAGTCCAAGCAAAGATCAAAGATAGCCCATTTTTTTAAATAGCAAAACTATAGATCTATCAAGGATAGATTTTAATTTATTTTTTTTAATTTTGTGCTATTAAAGTACTATAACTCAAAGTATAGGTAGATGTTAAAGATGGGTCAACAAGAGTAATCAATGAACTCGTCTAGAGATGCATTGACGGCCCTTGTTAAACGCAAAGGAAAGCGCAAGATCGGTTGGGGCTGTGAACATTCCTTCGTCATGGAATAAAATCCGACATTTAACACTTTATATAGATTTTGAATATAGAGACGTTTTGAAGATAAACTTCATTTTTGTTTCTAGAAATGTTTTTAATTACAAAAATAGTATATTTCCGTGTTTTTAAACTGAGTAGATCAATGACCTAGCATCGTTTTAGATAACTCAGTCCCTCTAGCCCAGTCTAGGGCTTGAGTAAAAAACCTGCACTTGTTATGAAACTGGTGTATAGTTCCTCTTCATGTCCGTAGCAAATACTGATACCCAGTCTACATGATCTACGCGTCACTAGCGAACGGTGCACATACCTGTGCTTGCAAGACCAAATAGACTGTTTACACATGTGCGAAGATCCTTTCCGACGAGCTCGGCAAATCACGTTGCTTTGCCGAGAAGTTACGATTGCAGGTGTTAACCATAATAACCATTCCATTATTTTAAAAAAAGAGAAGAAAAAAAACACACACAGTTAATGATTAACATTCTCACTCAAAAGAAAATATACGGCAATTAACGAACAATAATCATGACAGTTATATAATTGGTGAAAAGATTTATCACTATCAATCGAAGGATGACCTATATATTTTCGTGAAAAAGACTGAGGAGGCAGAGAGCGTAGGAATATGAAAACTTTTTATTTCCTTTTCTGGGGAAAAGTGATTTTCTTAAAATCTTTCTACGTTAATTTTGTTTTCTTTAACGTATTAAATATACAACATTATTCTTAACATTTGTTGTAATGTTGTATCTACTAATCATGAATGGAACTATTTTCTTCGGAGCAATTGTGTGAAGAGTACCTGACTTTAGTAATATATCTTGAATAGATAATATGCACTGATCGAATATATTAAAAAGAGAGAAGGCTTGCAACTCTTTTCTCGTCGTCTGCCTCACCTCGCTTAAACTTCGCCTGATTATTTATCTAAAGCATAAGAACACATGGAATATGCATACATCAATAAATTTGTTACACATTCTTCTTCCTTTTCATATTTCCATTTAATTTTTATGTGCCCCTGATTTGGAAATATTTCGATTAAATCAACCGCATCTAGGGTAAATTTTGTTGATGTGCACTAGCTGGGACGGAAGTGTCCGGTATTTTCGGGCGTCATCATTAAGTGTAATGTCATTCGGAACATTAAATGAAAGAGGGAAAAAATCCCGAATTTTCTCTTCATAATATATGTAACGGTAAGTTCCATGTATAACAAGATAACTCTAACTAGCAGATTCTAATGGATGAAGATTAACATTTAACATACGACTTAGACAACCAAATTTCTCAATATTTTTATTACAAAGCTTGGAATTTTTATTTAATACAGAACATTTGTAAAGTTAGAGTTACCGTTATTGCACTTCCGTCCCAGCTAGTGCACATCCACAAAATTTACCCTAGATGTGGTCGATTTAATCGAAATATTTCCAAATCAGGGGCACATAAAAATTAAATGGAAATATGAAAAGGAAGAAGAATGTGTAACAAATTTATTGATGTATGCATATTCCATGTGTTCTTATGCTTTAGATAAATAATCAGGCGAAGTTTAAGCGAGGTGAGGCAGACGACGAGAAAAGAGTTGCAAGCCTTCTCTCTTTTTAATATATTCGATCAGTGCATATTATCTATTCAAGATATATTACTAAAGTCAGGTACTCTTCACACATTGCTCCATAGAAAATAGTTCCATTCATGATCAGTAGATACAACATTACAACAAATATTAAGAATAATGATGTATATTTAATACGTTAAAGAAAACAAAATTATCGTAAAAAGATTTTAAGAAAATCACTTTTTTCCCAGAAAAGCAAATAAAAAGTTTTCGTATTCCTACGTTCGTTACCTCCTCAGTCTTTTTCACGAAATAGATAGGTCATACTTCGATTGATAATGATAAATCTTTTCACCAATTATATTACTGTCATGATTATTGTCGTTAATTGCCGTATATTTTCTTTTGAGTTAGAATGTTAATCATTAACTGTGTGGTTTTTTTTCCCTCTTTTTTAAATAACGGAATGGTTATTATGGTTAAACACCTGCAATCGTAACTTCTCGGCAAAGCAACGCGATTTCCGAGCTCGTCGGAAAGGATCTTCGCACGTGTGTAGACCTAGGCTATTTGGTCTTGCAAGCACAGGTGTGTGCAGCGTTCCCTAGTGACGCTTAGATCATGTATAGACTGGGTATCAGTATTTGCTACGGACATGAAGAAGTTTAGAACTATACACCAGTTTTATAACAAATGCAGGTTTTTTACTCAAGCCCTAGACTTGGCTAGAGGGGCTGAGTTATTTAAAACGATGCTAGGTCATCGATCTACTCAGTTTAAAAACACGAAAATATACTATTTTTGAAAATAAAAACATTTCTAGAAACAAAAATGAAGTTTTCAAAACGTCTGTATATTCAAAATATATATTAAGTGTTAAATGTCGGATTCTATTCTATGACGAAAGACTATATTCAGTATTGCTCCACAGCCGCAACCGATCTCGCTATTTCCTTTGCGTTTAACAACGGCCGTCAATGCATTTCTGGACGAGTTCATTGATTACTCTAAAAGGTGACAGGTTGACACATCTTTAACATCTGCCTATACTTTGAGTGATAGTACTTTAATAGCACAACATTAAAAAATAAATTAAAATCTATCCTTGATAGATCTATAGTTTTGCTATTTAAAAAAAAATTGGGCTATAATGGCTTGGATTTGTTTTTATTTTTTTTTTTTTACAGAAGATACTATCATTGGAAAGTTAGATGGTACACATGTAGCACAGGCCCATAGTACGCGGAATTTTTTCGGAGCACCCCCCCCCCCTTCACTTTGAAAACGTTGCTATAGGCCTGTAACATGCTATTTGGATTAAATATTCCTGAAAATGAGTGAGGTGTTAAATACATTTTTAAAATTATACGATTAATTATATTAAGTCTATGTTCTATGTGAAATTAAAACTTTCTTAGGCATGTGCAACTTTGTGATAAAGTCACTACATGCATGTAACGATATATATATGTATATGCAGTTTGTTTCCCAGTACATGCATATTTTATTCAACAAAAGATGTTGAAACTCAGTAGCCTAAATATTATGTCATTTTAGGATATTTATGGCACTTTTATAGTTGACTTTCTACAGCTTGAGTATCTCTGACGTTTTGTCAGTAAATACTTGTTTTTATTAGAAATCATCTGAGCACAATGAAAATTCGAATAAACTGAAAGTCGAATATCTTGGATATGGGGTAACCCATATCTATTCTTGTTATGTATCAGTCGAAAACGGTATATTTAAAAACAGTATATAGAGACAAAAGAGTTATATTATTGATAACATATAGTGCATATTAGAATACAAAAATAGGAAAAAGGTGTCTTGACCTCATATTTAAAAAAGAATAAAAATGGAAAGGGGGGGGGGGGTCCAGACCCCAAGTGCCTGTGAACTATTTTAAAAAGTTCAGATATTGAACTTATACGAAACTGCTATAAATAGAACGCGTATCACATCCGTGTACATTACGTCCAACGAACCCTAACTCCGTCACCAGGGCCCTCTACAATATGTCAACGTATTAATGAGAAATTTTTTTCCAGTTTAGTTTTTTCTCCCTTCATCTTTAACTTGTAAACATAGAAAATTAGGTTTGAAGATTTAAAATGGTATTCAATTGTATTTTAGGAAAAGTATCAACGACAGAAAAAAAATAACGTTAATATAACGTATTTTATATGTAATAACGTAACGCTACGTTATCTCCAACGTCTAGCATATTAGAGCAAATTGAGACGAAAAATAAAATATTTTTAGCCGTATTCAGTATGATATGTCATTTTAATCCTTTGGCAAAGACCTTCATAAATATGACTGACATGTAAAAATGAGCATATTGACGCACCTGTCGGAGGTTTCGATGGAATAGCGCATTAATAAAAGAAAAAGTACTTACTGATTTCACATAAAATATGATAGCTACAATAGATCACGTGTAATTGTTATTTATTTTTGACACATTCTTGAACTTGACTGTAAAAATTTATGGTCATTTGATTGTAGATTTTGGGCATGTAAAAAATGACGTCACAATCGCATTTGTTTACAAACAGCGCGGAGTTTCCCGAAAGTGACGCAGTTAGGGTAGTGACGGAGTTAGGGGGTTTGGCGATATATGATACTTTGAAACACTGATGAAAGTATAAACGTGATAAAGAAACTCTCGGGAAAATCGTGTCACAAACTGACGGTGTCAATAGAAAATTGTATCTTTGTTTGTTGTTGGACAAATAATATTGGCCAATATATTCCATCAATTCAAATCGCAGAAGTAAAATATGAAAAGTGTCTTATTAAAACGCACAGTTATATTACATGTACTTCTAATGAAGATTTGTAATATCTGTCACATAAAGTTTCAGCTAGGTGACGTGCATCATTTTCATTTGTTACATCAAATTTAACCTTCAATTAAAGAAATTTACAAACTTAAATATCAGGAAAAAATGAAACAATTATATAGACAGTCATTTATTAAAAAGAGGAATATGCGACAGCTAGGCTTTATTATGTCGTCCGGAAACAAATTGTCCGTATGCAGGCTTTGAAACTTATAGTTCAAGTAATAGTATCCGGTGAAGCGGAGACAGCTGAAATGTTATGTAAATTGTAGAAAATGACTTACTGAGGCATGTGTGTTTGATATATTTCAATAAATTTACGAATTAACAATACAGAAAGGTATGTGAAACTAATAGATATATATTCTATTGTAACGATGCATTTAAATCCTAGATTATTATTCATTGGTTTATCATTTATTTTCAGCAGTGATCTGGTAATATTAAGATATTCAGCTGATGTTGATCAGGTTTTTATTTGAATTTTATCAAAAATTGTAACGTTACAGACTGGATACATATTCTTGGACAGTCCTCAAAAATTTATTAAAACACGTATTTTTCCAGATTTATATTTTTGTGTTGGTCAGTTAGGCAAGTTCACGAGTAACCAGATAGCTTGGTAGAGCACATGATCTAGAGTTTGAATCATTGTCTGGGCTGGTTCAAGATGATAATAGATCGTAGCAGCTAGCCTAACCGCTAAACTAGATATCTAGGTCTATTGAAATCAGTGTATAAATGAACACTTGACATCACTACACAGTGGGCTAACTAAGCTAGCATAATAGTGAGTAGTCCGAAATATCTGACGTTTTCCTGGCTTTTTTACTATTTTCATATTTTACCTGCCAGGAAAACGTCAGAACCGGCACCACTACGAAAACTGGGAATTCGCCACCTCCAACCAGAGGCGGCATTCTCGAGTTGATTTTCGATACTTGCAAAATGTCAAACTCACAATTTATCAATAGTGCAATACTTTTAGTACTCACCAACATCGTTTTTATGGTTTGTTTATAAAATATACAATCCGATGAAAACATTTTATCTGACTGTCGAGATTCGTTTTCATTTCATGCATTTAAAATCTTTCAAGTCCTGTATTGAAATAATGAGTGATGTTTTCTTCTCATATTGTTGAGACTAGAAGCATTGTGCTATTAATAAATTGTGAAAACGGCATTTAATTCGGTTCCCAGGTATCGAAAATCAACTCCGATTGGAGACAGCGAAATTTCCAGTTTTTGTAATGGCGCCGGTTCTGATGTTTTCCTGGCATGTAAAATATCAAAATCGTGAAAAAAGCCTGGAAATCGTCAGATATTTTGGACTAAGTGAGTGGCACAAGAAGTGGCACCCACACTGCAAGCTCTTGAAGCAGTGCCTGGATGAAGGGAAAATTAATCCAAACGAATTTTTTTCTGTAATAATTAACCTCTGATTCAAAGCAGAAAGTAAAAAAAAAATCCACAAAAAATTATTTTAACTCTAGAATCATCATGACAAAGATATGTTTCATATTTTCCCCATTTATATTGCTTCAAGCTTTCATTGAGTATACATCTCCTGCACTTTGCCTCTATGAACCTTTTACCCGGTGAAGAATGCGTTAAAAATGTACATCAGGGGGTTTTTTTTGGTCTTAAATTCAAGGGCCTGGGCCTTTCTAATTGGCAAGAAATATCAACATTTGCTTGAAATTGGGAAAAATGTTTCATCAAAGAAGTACTGAAAAAGACCAAACCAGTGCATAAAGCAGGTATAAATTGGGACTCATTTTGGCATTCAATTGGATAAAAGTAGGTTTCCTTAACAATTTTGAGCCAAAAATTGCAATCTGTGGGCCTGTAAAAGGAGATTTATGAACAATAAGGCTACCCTGCTTTGACATTTTTTTCTCTGTTTGGGAATTTTAAAGCAAATATTGGGGAAAATACCTGCTTTTCAACATTGGGAATGGGGCCCCTACAGACCCTAAAAAAACCCTGGACCTGTACATTCAGAGGAACATGTACATTTTCTCCCGTATAAATTTGTGAAGTGCAAACATAATGCTAAAAAATCAAAGAAATTTCAGGTTTAGATACAATTTTTTCTTATCCTCTTAACCAATTTCAAACAAGTGTCCATAAAAATTCTTGTGAATGCTAAGTGAAAGAGTCAAGGATTTTGGGAATTACATTTGCACTCTGCAAGATATGTAATTTATTAATTTAGGATTTTTTATTCAATTTTTATTTTATTTATTTATTATACAATTATGGACTCTTTGGGTGGTGAATATGGTTTGTTATTCATCAGAAAAATATCAATATTGACTGAGGCGAAGCCAAGGTCAATATTGATATTTTTCTGGTGAATAACAAACCATATTCACCACCGAAAGAGTCCATAATTGTTTTATTATATAGTCTGCATTTGAATAAATAAGACATTGAAGGCTGCATGATGATACCACTTACGAACTTCTGTCGTAGAAAATTTTTTTAAAAATGTCCAGATTACAAATCATAACTTCCATTTTTTCCTTTTGCTGTTTGTTAGACATCGTAATGTTTAGAAAATAATCCTGCGATAGGCTTGCCTAAATGCAGCCTAATGTTTTTCCTGCTCAGATAAACAGCTGGCTCCGGCTGTTGCAACCATTGTTTACAACTTTTTGAGGTGTTCACATCACAATGCCGCTGCACGTGCACCGACCCTCCGATAAATACGTCTTTAAAACCAGTGAATATGTAGCGTTATGAACTGTTTGCATTTGTATAGATTATATAGAGACTATAAATAGACTATATAATAATTTTTTTATAGAAGGATGTAGTGGGATGACTGTATTAGCATGTTATCCTACTCAGTCCAGTGTTTCTTCATAAGGAACTTTCCAAGAAGTTTTCAATTCATTCATCAAAGACCAAAGGGAGGAGTTCAAAGGTCAGTCATGTGTATGTAGATGAGTAGAATAACAATATATTGGTCTTTAATGCCCCACATAAATAACCAAACCAGATCTTTTATCTTGTACTTTGCAATACATGTATATTTTCTTGTTTTTAAAACAAAAAGTGTTTTTTTAACTGTTAGGGCAGCACATAGTACCCCAATCACACTCACTCACTGAGTCCCTATGTCTTTCTCTTCATTTGTTAAGCTGTGTATCCATCCAACAAAACTTAGGTCTGAAAACAAGAGTACCTTTCAACTTGCAGATTAAATTATTACCCAGATTTTTAATTTGTTTGGTCCAAGGTCAAGACTCTTTAAATGACTATTGTGATGCAATAATCTTTTTTAATTTGCTACAAAGATTAAGATTGATTAAAGAAAGGCATCTCTCACTCCCCCCTAGGTACCTGATCCCACCTCTGAATTTCTGGAGGTCTGTGTTTTTTATTCTCTGTTCACAGATTTATGTTGTTTATATGTTTTCTTAAGATTGATCACTGTTTTTTATCTTCACCTTTTTCATTAAATATAGGTCAAAGCCCAAACTTTGGATCTGGCTTTTTCTTATTTCAAAAATGAAGTATGAACACACTTTTCTTGCTACAAAAATATTTTGACATCAGAATTCTTATTTACTGCACAATTAAAGTTGGCCTCCATAGATTCTGAGGACACTTGCTTGAGGATCCAAGTTAAAAAGTCATTCAAGATTATTTATATAAGAACTCTGAGCCCCTGTATGACTGTTGGTCAGTAGATTATTAATATAGGAATACAACAGGGCCCTGTATAGCTGTTTGTCAGTTTTCTATTTTTACTTTCAGGAACTTCTCACATTTTGGATCACACTATGATATATTAGGAGTCAGCAGAGATGCTTCTTTGAAAGAAATAAAGTCAGCATATATTTCATTGTGTAAGAAGGTAAAAGAGCATAACGACTTATTGAATAATTAATATACAGAATAGGAACTAATGATTAGTTTCATATTCTTACCCTGTAAAAGGAAAATATATAAAAATTATTCAGAAAAAAGCAGGTACCATGTACACAGATGGAGGTTATTAAAGATGCTTCTAAAGTGGGAATGTGAATAAATGATTTGGTGTATCCTTTGCATGATCCTGTCCACAATATTGTTCCCATTTTAAAAAATCATTTATTTATTTATATAAATTTACTTTTTTAATAAAGAGACTATAAGAAGATTTGAATGGGAAAAACAATCTAAGTCAGAAGGAAATTGATTATCATAAGACAGTGATGGATAAACCCTTTATTGTTGGTCCTAGTTAAATCGATAGTCATTGGGCAGTGCTGAGTCAACCCTTTATTGTTTGGTTCTAGTTAAATTGATAGTCATTAGGCAGTGATGAGTCAACCCTTTATTGTTGGTTCTAGTTAAATTGATAGTCATTAGGCAGTGATGAGTCAACCCTTTATTGTTGGTTCTATTTAAATTGATAGTCATTAGGCAGTGCTGAGTCAACCCTTTATTGTTTGGTTCTAGTTAAATTGAGAGTCATTAGGCAGTGTTGAGTAAACCCTTTATTGTTGGTTCTAGTTAAATTGATAGTCATTGGGCAGTGCTGAGTCAACCCTTTATTGTTTGGTTCTAGTTAAATTGAGAGTCATTAGGCAGTGTTGAGTAAACCCTTTATTGTTGGTTCTAGTTAAATTGAGAGTCATTAGGCAGTGATGAGTAAACCCTTTATTGTTTGGTTCTAGTTAAATTGATAGTCATTAGGCAGTGATGAGTAAACCCTTTATTGTTGGTTCTAGTTAAATTGAGAGTCATTAGGCAGTGATGAGTCAACCCTTTATTATTTATTCTAGTTCCATCCAGACTCAAATCCAGACAATGCTGAAGCACAGAGTAACTTTGTGAGGTTAAACGAGGCCTACACTCTCCTTAGCGACCCCAAGAAGAGGTCGGAATATGATGAAACTATTGGGGTTCGGCAGTGGGACACACCCGATACAAAACGGAAGGCTCCCGATTTCAGCCACCATGACTTAATGTGAGTACAATTCAGACAGCTTTGGGAGAGGGCTCAAAAGGCTTCATGTATGCTCAATCATATTCAGTGTTAATTTAGATACTGGAAAAAAAAATGGATGCAAGGCTTTCAAAAATATTAGAAACAGGCAATACTTTTATAGAGAGGGTATTTATAGGCATTACCTGTTGCCCAATCTATTCATTATTTTGAATATATATTTTTTAAATCAATACTTTTACAAAAATAGAAGGGACCTTGTGGATGCAATCTTGATTAATTATGAAATCAGTTTTTTTCTCCATCAAATATTTTGGACTGTACAATTATGATTTTAGCCATGTAAAAGTACCAGCAGATTTTGAAAGGTCTGTCGATTTAAATTAAAGTTTAACAGTATAGTCTTTTAGAAAGAAATATTTTCCAAGACAAATGCTTCTGAACAGAGTGGGATGGAATGAAACTTATATCTTGGAAAGATAGACAAAATTATTACTATAGTTTAAAGAAAGAAACTTAATTTTATAACAATACATGGACAGACCGTATTCTAAATTGGTTACTTGAATGTTTAGAGCTTGATATGAAAACATTCACGGAACTTATATATTTGTGATGTGTTTGTTTGTCAGTTGGGAAATGAATCACAGGTTTGACAAGCAGAAAGATATGACTGAGGAACAGATTTTAGATCAGAGACTGAAAGAACAACAAGAACGGTACGAGAAATGGTATAAAGAGTACCTCATTAAAAAGGAAAAACAAAAGTCTGACTGGAGAGCACCACCCCCCACAGAGGAGGAGAATGAGGTCAGGGAAACAGCATCCGAGTACAAAGAAGCCTTCCACAGAGAGGGAGCTAAACACCTGAAAGAGGAGGAATTCTCATGGCCAGTGTGGTTTGGGCTTTTACTTCATGGCTCTGCACAGCTTGGAATCTTCCTTGTCTGCATGTATGGGATGTATAGAATGGGACAGGAGTAAGAAGTTTATCTTGATTTGGGTGATACAGTGAAAACTGTCTAATCTGACACTTGTACAATCCGTTTCACTGTGAATTCCGACCTTTATTTTCATTCCCTTTTTGCCATATTCCATGTTCTTTACACTGTATTATCCGACACCCTCTCTGTTCCGACAAAAACTTTGTCTCCCTGTGCATGTCAGATTAGACAGGTTTCACTGTATTTCATAATGTTATTTAGTTTTATAAATGAAAATATTTCTCACTTAACTCAATAAATTAAATATTATCTATATCTTTATTACCAGGACTGGTTATATAGAAAAGAAGAAAAAATCTGACTAGTATCTATTAATTAAAAGATTAGTCTATTATGTTATGGTGACTGTTGGGTGGAAAATCCTAAATGATCATGCCAAGAGCTGGATTATCCTATAGCTGTGATGTGATTTTTCTTATAGCTATTAGCCACTTGTGTGGATGTTTGAGGCATTGGTATGAGTGAGCATAGATGATAATGCAATGAAAAACAAAGACATTAATTTATTTGCTTTATTATTTTTTTTTTTAATAAATATGCAAATACAAAATAAGATGATGTTTTTTAATGACAATGTTAATTTTATTCCACAGTATGCTTTTTCTGGTAATAAAAATGAATTTTTTAAAACCAAAAGCTTGATTTTGTTGATAATATGTGAAAAACTTAATTTGTGAAGAGGGACTCCATTTTATAACAAGATCAGGTGAGTACTTGTTATTTTTGCTTATACTTTACTTTTTGTTTGATTTCAATATACATGTACTAGATGAAATCCCGCGCAAGCGCGGGGAATTGAATTTATACCACTACCGAGTACTGACAGAACATATATTGTAGTTTCTACTGACGGCCTTCAGGCTTATAGCAGGAAGAAATACTTTTTCAAAATCCTGCATGATGTAGACGTACATCTCCAGCCCCCATCCCATCCCCTTTTGTAAAAACTTGAAAAATAAGTTTCACTAATCGACGTTTATTGTGAAACCTGTTATACTATGTAACGGATATTGTACTTCGATTAGATGCTTTTATTTAAGGAATAACTGTCTTATTTTTAGCTCTACTGGTCAGAGACCAGAAGAGCTTATGCGATAGTAAGGTGTCCGTCGTCCGTCCGTCTGTCTGTCTGTCTGTCTGTCTGTCTGTCTGTCCGTCTGTCTGTAAACAATTTTTCAAAACGCTACTCCTCCTACAGTTTTGGTCCGATTTCAATATAACTTGGCACACAAGTAGACTACACTAAGATACATAATTTAGTGCATCGATTTTTGATTTCGATGGACGGTGTTGCCATGGTTACTAAAAATAGAAATTTCTGTGAAATTCCTTTAAAACGCTACTCCTCCTACAGTTTTGGTCCGATTTCAATATAACTTGGCACACAAGTAGACTACACTAAGATACATAATTTAGTGCATCGGTTTTTGATTTCGATGGACGGTGTTGCCATGGTTACTAAAAATAGAAATTTCTGTGAAATTCCTTTAAAACGCTACTCCTCCTACAGTTTTGGTCCGATTTCAATATAACTTGGCACACAAGTAAACTACACTAAGATACATAATTTAGTGCATCGGTTTTTGATTTTGATGGACGGTGTTGCCATGGTTACTAAAAATAGAAATATCTGTGAAATTCCTTTAAAATGCTACTTCTCCTACAGTTTTGGTCCGATTTCAATATAACTTGGCACACAAGTAGACTACATTAAGATACATAATTTAGTGCATCGGTTTTTGATTTTGATGGACGGTGTTGCCATGGTTACTAAAAATAGAAATTTCTGTGAAATTCCTTTAAAACGCTACTTCTCCTACAGTTCTGGTCCGATTTCAATATAACTTGGCTTACAAGTAGACAACACTAAGATACATAATTTAGTGCATCGGTTTTTGATTTCGATGGACGGTGTTGCCATGGTTACTAAAAATATAAATTTCTGTGAAATTCCTTTAAAACGCTACTCCTCCTACAGTTTTGGTCCGATTTCAATATAACTTGGCACACAAGTAGACTACACTAAGATACATAATTTATTGCATCGGTTTTTGAATTCAATGGCCGGTGTTGCCATGGTTACTAAAAATAGAAATTTCTGTGAAATTCCTTTAAAACACTACTCCTGCTACAGTTTTAGTCTGCTTCTAATATAATTAGGCATACAAGAAGACTATATTAAGATACATAATTTATTGCATTGGTTTTTGAATTCGATGAACAGTGATGCCATGGTTACTTAAAATAGAAACTTTTGTGAAATTCCCATTAAACGTTACTCCTCCTACAATTTTGGTCTGATTTCAATCTAATTTGGCACACAGTTAGAATACACTACGATACATAATATATATTTCTGTTTTTTTTATTTGGGTGAATGGTGTTGTCATGGTTACTAAAAATAGAAATTTCTGTGAAATACTTTCAAAACGCTACTCCTCCAACAGTTTTCATTTGATTTCAATATCTTGGCACAGAAGTAGACTACATTAAGATACATAATTCTATTCATTGTTGCATGTTGCAATGTTTCAAATCCAAGTGCTAATTTTCTTTTGTTATACAAACAGACCAGTAGAGCTACAGTCTCATCAGAGACTTCTGGTTTGGATTCATGATGTGATCAATCGAGTGGCTTGCGTGATAATTTGCATAAACGCCGAAGGCGTTTATGCATAAAATTATCACGCAAGCCAATCGATTGATCATCGTCATGAATCCAAAAAATTTGACAGTTATTCCTTATATTTACATGCGCCTGATTCTGCAAATTCCCGTGCTAATAGCCCCGCTTCTGTCTCTATTTGTAACGCCCCGCACGTGATTTTTTTTTAACCGCGCCTATCGATGAACCAGTAGATTTATGTAGAAATAAAGTATTTTTACAATTTGTAATTTTATCTCGGACAAAGACATTGGAAATGTAAATATTTAATTATCAAGAATAAAAGCAGCGAATATGCACATTTTACTGATAAATTGATTTTGGGGGGGGGGGGTAAAAATTCGAAGGTAGTTGGATCTTGGTTTATAAATATGCATGTACCTTATTGATATGAAAAAAAGTAAAGCACATTTTTTACATATCAATAAGGTACATACAAAATTAGCTTTTAACGCCCTATATGAATAGACCTAGTATTTGATACAAAAGACTGTATTCAGAGAAAAAAAAAGAAATATATTGATTAAAGCACAAAATTTTACAGCTTTAATTGTATTTGGACAATACCTTATTCATTAATTTTCTCTTTTCATGTGAGCTAGTTTGTAACGAAGTACAAATATTGTACGTCGGGTTCGTTGCCACGATGCTCTAAGTAATATATATAACATTGAAGAGTCATATGTCTATTTTATGTACATGTTTATATAGGTGCATGTATGTCTAAATGATTTTTTTCTTTTTCTTTCAACTATATTTTAGGCCTTTCTCTTGTAAGTTTGTTCTCTTTATGCTCATTTGGGCACTGAATTAGTAATAAATCATATCTTATCTTATACAAATTTTACCGATAAATTTATTAGGAAAACCTACTATATATATGTAATAGTGTTTCGATATATAGATTATTCACAACTTATAGTGTTATCAATGATTTACTATTATTTCAATGACCATACACACAAAAGCTTTTTTTTATGTTCATGCAGCAAAATCGCCTCGTTTTTCTTTTCAACATCGGGCTCGATGCTATATGATGTTCCAGAAGCTTCCGTCAATATTAAGATCGGTGAATGACGAAAATAATTTGCACATTTCCCTTTTTAATCAGTTATCACAACTTATTTCTTTTATATCATTTAAATCAAGTTTCGATTGAATAATTCAGTGATGACGTTCTATGATATAAATAAACGATTGTATGTTATCAGTTTCATTAAATATTGCCAGTAACTTAGATCCGCCAACCGGAAACGCCACCGTACTCTCTTTAGGCTGTTTATCGAATTTAATTCAATGTACGATACTTACTATGCGAGTGAAATCCAAATATAGTCTACGGACATCATATTGTATATAGTGTATTGTTAGAGGAGTAAGTAAGAACTCTTGTGCAACCGTTTCAGAGTTTATTTGCAAAATTTATTAATTTATATATATATATATATATATATATATATATATATATATATATATATATATATATATATATATATATATATATATATATATATATATATATATATATATGTAGTAGTTGCCGTATAAGTTTTCATTGGTTTTCTCTAGATACCCTATAGAGAGGTTAAAAGGTTACGAGAAGGTGCAGCCTTCGAGTAACCTTTCAACCTCTCTATAAGGTATCCAAAGAAAACCAATAAAGAAACTTATACGGTAAGTCACATGTACCATAGCACTCTCAGATTTCCTAATATGGCAGAGATGATGTATTAGTTGCAAATAAATTTCCTAATTTGGTTTGTCACCTGACATAATTATACTGAAACATACGCAAAAGAAACGCAACAAGCAGTAATCTACAAATATTTGAATTCTTTATCTAATGATTTTCAAAAATGAATACAGTAAGGTAAAACTCGATTTATAAACATCAGAGATTTGATAAAAATGTTAAATTATAATTTTTATCTTTAGAAGTAATATATGAATGTTAAAACACCCCCACCCGGCCATTCAATTATAGCGTGCAAGAATGCCATGTACAACATTTGCAGCTTGATTTCTACGATGCACTAAGTTCATCAATCTCGAGATCTGAGCGAAAGAAATATTCTTTGCCATTTTTAAATGCCTGTTTTTCAGATGATGAGGTCGAATTTTCTCTAGCCAAGCGCAGTGTAGTAACCCTTGGACTTCCGGTCCAAGGACTGTCATTCATACTAATGATACGTAAGAACCTGTTGAGGCTTGATGTGTTGCATATTTGCATCTGAAACTCTCCATTACCTTTATTTTGATATTTTCCAGCTAGAGCAATGAAAATGCGTACTTAAGTCATTTTTAGGAAGCCTTGGCATCGCTTACGGAAAAGAAAGGAGAATTTATTTTTCGTAACATTGCTTCATTGCTTATGATGAACAGATACAAACTCTTAAAACCCCATATTATTGCCAAATATTTTGTTAAACATGCAATTTTTGTTCCGGTAATGGTATGAAAATCATTCAACCGTTAAATTACTTATATTTACAAAATTGAAGATGTCCTTACTTTTTAGATACAAAATTTTATCCTATATTTAATATTTACCCCTAAAATAGGATGTTGCGTTTCTTTTGCGTTACAGTATATAATGACATGCGCTATACACTGTACATATATATTACATTTTATTGCGCATTTTTCGCACTTGCAATCAAAAAGCGAAAATGGGCAAACACAACGCAATGAGCATGGATCTCGATTTTCTTGAACTGTCGCAAAATGTTGAATGGGACAATTCTATCCATAATTAAACTCTCTCACAGATAGGCCAGTTGATAGACGAAGTAAACATGTTTGATGGTATTGGGGATTTATCTCTACTCAAACGGATTTTAATTTGATCCAGGAGCCGGTTACACCCAAGAATGTTATACAGCAGTTGGACCATTCGGACGATCGATTTGGAAAGTTTTACGATAACGACAATGTATATACATGGAACGTTATTAAAGCTTTTAATTAAAAT